TGTTATAGCCAACCTAAAATTTGTTGTATATTTTTTCTTATGTAATTCTATTATAGATGTTATATTTTTATTGTAGTAAATATTAATGTTTCATTTATAAGAGGGTATGGTAGTGCCCTCGTCAAGTCGATCACAGCCGTACGCCGTACTAGCCTTTTCTCGAATGGACTCACGCCACTTTTCACCCCTTTACCCCTTGCTCCTGTAACTTAATTGTGAATAAAGCGAGATTTTAGAATTTTTGAATTAAGAGGACATATTACAACTGGCTATGACTATTATACTTTATAATTAATTTATCAATGATTTACCCATTAATCATAAAAAATCTAAAGTACTTCTATTAATGTTACAAATTTCAAGTTTTTAATTTTATATTTAGTTTAATTTTAGTCAAAGTTTAGCCTATAAAGGGGAGAAAAATTATATATCCCGAAATTTCATTATTAATTTTAATTAAATAAAGGAAAAAGATTTTTTTAAAATTGCGTTCATTCATTCAAATAACGTTTCTGTTTGTAATTAATAGACAACAACAAAATGAGACAAAATGAAGTACCATCAAATCTAAAAAAAATTTCAAGTATTGTAACGCAGTTCTTCCACTAGTCAATTAATTTTCTTAGTTTCATGGAATCACCTGTTCAACAACTTTGTTGTAAATTATTATTTAATCAATTACTTATTAAACATTTATAGTGACCGTACAATATTAGACATCTTTATTTCTATAAAAATTGTATTGACTTTACAATTGATAGTCTCGTGTTAATAAAAAAAAAACTAACTATACATATTATTAAAAGAATTAATTCGTTTCAATGATGCAAAAAAGATAATGTGTATAAAACAATTGAATTGAGAAATCCTTTTTATTTTCGGTTGAAATTTATTTTAAACTGTATAGCTTTTCCGTCAAATTTTTTGGTGCATACATTTTTCATTTAATATTAAAAAGAACTCGTTTTAAGATGAAATTTTATAAAATCATAACAGATGAAGGTAATGCGAGTATTTTATGGATAAAATATTTTGGTTGTCGTGAACAAAAAATTGTACGAAGTTAATATTAAATAAATTTATACAAATAAATTATTTATAAATTATGTAGTCACAGGTGTGCACGGGGTATTTTTTATTACATTGAGTATTTTTCATTACATATTGTATTTCACAGAACATAATTTGGTATTTTGGAAGAGGAAACATTAAAAAAAAAACATTAAAAATAGTTGAATTATTTATACTCATGCTAATGCATCAAATCAGAATTTTTAGGTATAAACGAATCATCTCAATTATTTGATTTCTACCTGTGTGTACAAGGCACCGATAGCAGAGACGTGAAATTACTTTCAATATGTAAGAGCTAAATATAAATAGCCAAAATTTTAGTAACAGAAATTTCAGGAATTCGTAAGTCAGTTACCGCCGTTAATTTCACGGATAAGCTCCGTTTGGTATCTACAAGTCGTGCCTTTCGAACAAAGAGATTATTCGACAGTGTACAGTTAATTAATCCCTCGGATACGGTCCTATTAGCCGAATGGGGTTCCATCGGTCGCAATTTAGTACAGTTGTTGGAATGCCTGAATCACTAATCAAGTGCGACTATATGAAACCCGTAAGAAAAAGATATAAAGGTCTTATTGCCAGCTATAACCACAAGTGGGTAAACGGAGGCTGCCCGTCTGATAAGCTCATTCGCTGAGATGAACAAAATCACTCTAACGCGAAATGGTGACAAAAATTGCCGATCGTGAAATTGCTTCTTGGTCCTTCGATTCTTGATATTCATTGCTGAGTGTCATATTACATTCAATCATGTAGGAAGTACAATTTTTTAATTTAGTCACAATCATTGACGATTAAAGAATTTTGATATTAATACTTAATAAAAATCCCAAAAATAAAAATGTATTCAATTTATTTAAGAAATTGCATAATAAACAAGATATTGCCACTATTAATTAGACCCACTTAGAGAATTACTTAAGCGTTAGCCTCAATTATTATAAAGATCAATATGAAATCAAGATGAGCATAAACCATATTGATTGCAAAATTATCAATTTCAATTCAGAATTTGCTATATAATCGCCTAACATAACCCAAAAAAAAAATATAAACAAAAGAAGCAAAAATTTCATATAGGTGAGTACATAGATTGAAGACACAAGTTATTTGAGATTCTTGGGGATTGGCTGTTCTCGTTACATATAGAGATCGATAAGTATAAAAGTAGTAGGCACTTCTTTAATAGGTTAGAAAAACCTGTGTTCCTGTGATATTGCGAAATCGCGCAGCATATTATAATTTAATTGGATATTTGGACCACAGAATAATAATTTAAAAGAAAATTTCTATAAATACTTCCAATTTATAGTTTGGTTTTTTAATATTATCTCTATAGAGATTATAAAATAATAATTTGTTAATATAAATAATCTAGAATATATTTAATGAAAACTGAATCTTTAACTGAATGAACTAATTTGCAACATGACAATAAATCACTTCTTTAAACCTAAAATAAAATAGTGATCAGGATAAAACTTGAACTAGGTAGGTTACCTAGAATAATTGCACGTAAAACATTAATGAGGAAGTTAACGCGATAAGCGCTTCAAACGAGAATTGAAGCAAGAAAACGGAGAGCAGAAGCTCGCATTAACATTCCAGTGCAGAAGAGGCAATAATGTGGGTGTTACACGGCGAAGCGTTTCACTCGAGCAAATGGCCGACCCCGCCCCGTAAGGGAATACCTTTTACACTACGTCTGTTATTGTAGCTTCGTATTAGGTACTACCCAAATATCCCACAGTCCCAAAATAAACGAGGGTAAGGCCCAAAAAATTCCGGAATTCTTTCCGCATTTCAATATTCAGCTTTCCTTTTTTCTAAATTAAAGTTGGAATTACACCCGTTATTACTATTGAAGTACCTATTATACCGACTACAAGAACATTCAAGGGTAGATTTTTGCCTCGTGCGTATTCTAACCCAATTATCGACGAACAGGCGGGAACCATTACAGAATTTTAAGAGAGCCTATAATTTGATGAGCAACGTGATGTTTCAGTAAAATCTACGGTACGATTTTTGGTAGCGTAGTAGAATTTATTACCTTTGCCGTAGAAGGGTTATACTGGTACGTACGCAGCGAAGCCACGTACAGCGATATTATTTGGTGGGGTGCGTTTTGTTTACAAATTGTTCGACGGCGCGTGCCGCGCTCGGCTCGAATCACCTCGAGATAAAGCGGCTGCTGTTACCCGCTGATAATTTTCTTCATCCTTGTTTTATACGCACGTTGAACGGTGATTTCAGCCGTAAATGGATTGATCCGGCTTACAGTTTGATAGAGGCGACATGATAAAGCATACAAATAATACCATTTAAAAATATTAGATAACAAATTGTCATAAACCAATTTTCACTGTTTTGTGCGAAAAACGTTTTTAATATTTCTGATTACATGGACCTATCTAAAAGTGTATTTTATTTATTTATTAATTTAAAAGATCTCTTCTACAATATTAGAATAGAATAAAATAAGTTTTAAGTTATATGATGGAATACAAATATTTTGATATATGGGAAATTTTATCATAAATATTAGGTAAATATCAATTTAGATCACTTTTATATTTTCCTATGGCAAGTTCATGAAGCGAGATCTAAAATAATGGAGAACTCGATAGCGAATGCTTATATTACTGTACTTTATCCGAAATGTACAATTATTTTTTCTTGTACGTTCCGTGACGTATGAAATGTTTTTACATATCATATAATACGTGAAAATTAAAGGATTCTAAAAGCGTCAACGCGTTCGTCTTTACATCTCATACAAATAAAAAAGGGAATCGAGTACTTTCCAAAGTATTATCATGGGATATTCACGTTTCACGTAGCGGTGTTATGAAACCTTTTTCTACGTTTTAAGTCGCCAACAAAATGTCTATCTGCAAAATTACTTATGGCTGAAAAGTATTGGTAATTTTTCTATACTAAATTAATAAGCAGTGAATAATATTAGGTAAATTAGTTATTGTTTTCTTACTTTCATTGTAATACAACTAGATAATAAGTAAATATACTTTTATTCTTTACACTTGTAAGGCCTGTAAAATCATAAGCTATGTACTAATGGCGTTTGTGTAATTTATATTTATAAGCATAGAATTAAATAGGTCAGGAATTTGAAATTCACACATACATTTAAAGGAGACGTAGGACTTATAAGGTCAAGTTAAGTCTAGGCTTACAAATTAAGCACACGTAAAGGTGCTTAAAATCTGTCAAATGATCGACAATGAGTTGGTGATATAAAACGCGCAAACGAATAACAAAAAAAAAAAAACTAATTATATTTATTAGAATATACAACGTAATAAGTGAGTAAAAATTTTCAGGCAAATGAAATTGCAGAGACAGCGTGTTAATTATTATGAATTTGACAGTTTGTGAAGATCATATTTAGGTAGATGCCTGATTGGAGTATCTTATGAGTTGAGTTCATCATAAATCTAGAATATGTTAATAACGGTATGTTAGATTAACACTTTATACTACTTATGTGGGCAGCGGCGAGATACAATTGATAACGATAATGATAATCTATTTGACCGAACATGGTAACCATTTCTATATCTAGTGAAGTTGGCGTTGATTCGCTCGAAGATGACTGACGTAGCCAATCCTCACGGTTAACCTCTTTCGTGATAAGCACGTGTGTATAATACTTACGTAAATGGCGGAGGATAGTCGAGCCTTCAACAAGTCACGTTTATGATTGAGGTCAGCTATACGCTGGTTCTCAAATTCGCGATCGAGTTGATCAGACCCGTCATTTATACCAAATTTTACCATTGAGATTAGTGATAAATCGAAAGAAAATAGATACTAAGTGATATCTATCAGGTCCTGAATAGGTGTCTAGAATGTACATGACTTATAATATTTATTACATTAACCATATGTTATATTTGTTGCAGAGAGCCGAACCTGTACTTCATCGGAGTTCCGATGCAAGACCGGACGGTGTATACCGTTATCTTGGCGTTGTGATAACGAGAAGGACTGCTCCGATGGATCAGATGAAGAACCGGGCACATGTAGTACGTACACATTCATAATCATTGAGCATTTATTTTTTTCATTTTTATGATATTGACATATAATATTATACAAGAGCGTCGTGATCTAGTTCTATACTTTCCGACTTACTTATACCCCGGAAAGATCGTAAGTTCCAAACAGAAAAACGGGAAGCTTGCTCTCTACCAATAGATTCTAATTATGTAAAATCAGTAAAATGTACGCTTATTGATTATTAATATACATTCAACTAACGGTAATAATATTTGAAAATTGTTCGATTACCTGATCAGGACTGTCATGTATTTTTTTAACAATTACTACGTAAAATATTCTGTTTTTAAGTTAGTAAGATAAGACCGTAGCCATATCTTAGTGGTACGAGTATACTACTAACACTTGTAGTCGTCTTCTTTTATGTTTAATTTGAGTTTTATTTAGAGATACAAAAAATCTTAATTTTTAATGTATAAAAGTGTACCAATACCCATTTATATATTAAATCAAAGCTTAAAATACAGACTCCAAATATTTTTTTAGAACTTTTTAAGTCATAATTTACATAGGTCCAATAAAAACAAACAACGGTGTATGTATTCTAGGTGATGAAAATAAGCAAACTTACTTTAGCAAATTGACTTGGGTTTTATATATAGTGGACGCTATTTTTTGCGTGTGTGTAAGTGGTCTGGTGTATTATAGATACAATGTTGTATATCTAGTAAAAACGACAGACCATAGACAAAACGATCACTCAACACTAACGCGAGAATCTTTTTGCTGTCGTCAAAAACTTAAATACATATACTTATATATACACCATAGGCAGATCCTTACATAACATACACAACAAGCATCTATTATAAAACAAATCAAAATGTTTTTTAGTAAATAACAAATTATTGACTCTGCAGATTTAATTAAAAGGACATTCTTTTTAAGATTTTAAAATAGAGACCTTCCATAATTCACTCGTATTTTTTAATACGATATGTTCATCATTTTTTAACTAATTTTAATGGTCTTTTTAATTTCATTTGATCTCATTCAGCAGTTTCATAATTGTGACAGTTAATTTTTTCATAGTTGAAGACCCTACGTTAATTTTTACATGGCTAGTTTTAAAATAGGTATTACTACTCAAAGTATCAATGTTCAAATATTTTGGATTTGAAGTTACCTAATAAGTTAAATGTACGTAAAACATATTTCATAGAAGGGTATTCAAAATAATCTGATTAACTAAATTAATTTATCGTCATACTATCAAATCAAACGTTTTCGTTGGTCAAAAGATTTCAATTAAATTTATAGAAATCTTTTAGCGACTAAATGAATTTAATGGTAGGTAAAGTCCAATCACAATTATACGGGGAATTTGTCCTAAGATGTTGGTGCATTCTTTATAATATCACTCTATACGCTATGTGATAATCATGATAAAGTCATTATTTGTATACAAATCGTATATAATCAATACTGGGAGTAACGAAACATTTAATAACCCAAAATGGGAAAGTTATTCAGATTCTTAAATTACTGATTGATTTGAAGTTTCCCAATACATTATCATCTTTAATACTTAGTTGACCTCTGACTGGAAATTATGGAAAGTAAAAAGAAAAAAATACGTATTTCGACCTGTGTTCTTTGGGGAAAAGCTGTACAGATTGACGGTTCGTTACATGCTTTATAATTTGTTATGATGTTTAACTTTTAGAAAGTCATAAATCGTTAGTGGATGAGCAAACGCGTATGAGATAATTCTGCGTAAAGAATCCCAAAAAATAATTATCTTGAGATTTATGTGAAAAGTTTTAAGGTAGGTACGTTAGCACGCGTATTTCGTCCTTGCCGAGACTCCCGGCGTAGATTAAAATCTTAATTACGGCTCCAAGTTTTCAGGATTAATTTTATAATCTTTGCCCTCTCTTTTACCTGTTTTCGTTATGAATTGTGAATTTGAATCCCATTTAAGTCCATCGATTGTAGAGTCTTAACAAAATGAATGGATCAACAGTTAAGGAGAATGAATTGAATATAAACGTAAGTCAGTAGGTACGTATATCTGATATTCAATCTTGGTATCTATTTAAAAATATTATATCGATATACAAATTCATATAATTAATAAGATATAACACAATATTTTGGGTTGGAATTAATATAGTAATAATAATTTATTTTTCTATTATCTAATCTATAAAGTCTTGTAGGCATATAAAAAAAGTAAAATAAATTAATATACTCGTTTGAGTATTACCTACCTATTAATAGATTATATTACCAACTTCATTAATTGAAGTCATTTGATGTTGTATTATATAACAGTAAATATAAATACACTGTAATAAAGATAATTATGTATATACATTAGTCTATATCTAGACTAACCTAACTATATGTGTAAATTTTATTTTTATACTTTATGAGTCTACTTTATTAAATAACTAGTTTAAAAAAATTGAAATTTAAAACATGTCGATAGGGACACATTTGGATCACATTCATATATTCTAATCGCATATACAAGGGGGAAAGGGATTGTTAGCAATGGAGTTTGATAGCCTCATTGTTAGCAATATGACATATTAGGTCGATCTCTACGTGGTTTCCCCTGGAAACCATCGTGAACAATTCTTATTGAATTCGTCACGATGGGCTAACTGACCTGCTTCATCCTCACCTATCATCCTTTACTGGTGCCCCGCCGGTGTATACCGATAGCGCGGGTGGGGTTACCATTCTATTATCACCCATTATAAAGAATCGCATATACATATAATTCAAATATATATAATTCGAATTACACATTCACTTCCATGAGCATTTACTTCGGATCGTTTCACTGTAAACTGATTTCCTCAAAGATGTGTGTAGCTCAAAGGGAAGATACTATCGTATTAGTCAAATACCATAAATTAATACCTTGACTAACTGCACCTACTTGTACTGTACCTACTGTGTACCTATTAATAGGATAGTTGGTTATATTATATATCTGACCCATTTCCTTTACTTTAAATAAAAAATAAAAGCGAAGCCATTATATTCATGCTCACGACTCTATCCCTGAAAGGCTAGTCAGAGATGTTTATGAATTTTCTATATGTCATGTAATTACAAATTATACAAATTCATAAATATTCGTATGAGGAATTTATGCATTACAAAAATATTACTCCAACTAATATACAATTCTAGGAATAAATATTTTTAATATGAATATAAACCCGCCATTTGAATAATACAATGAGAAGTATATACTTTTTTTTCTAATTGTAGTGACAATTTTTTATTATTAATATTTTTTGAAAAAGGTATTAATACTTTTGACTTGGCCGGCTAATGATGATCTCAGTTTCACTATTATAATACAACAATGTTTTATAAGTTAAATGGATCTCCTGTTCTCCATCTCGTGAGTCGGGACAATTACCAACTAATAGGTCACGACGCTCTTTTTTTTTCATAAATTGAACAATCTATGAAGATCGAAATATACATAGATTGGTTGGGCTTAATTTGTAGATATTTTATAATGAAAGTTGAGCAACTTAGTTAATTGTATATTAAGAGTATATTATATATAAAATATATAAAAAAAAATAAACTATAAAAAATAAATTAGGACAATCATAATCATTTCGTAAAATTATTTTAATTTCACACACCTCAAAATTAAGGACAACGATAAAGGCAATTTAAAATCGGTGTCCAGAAATTCGACAAACAATCCTAAAAGAAGTAAGTGACTCAATAAAAGCCAGTAAAGCGGACTTCTAATTCCTTGTTGTTTTTTTTCTCAAACAGTAACAATATGTACAAAAAGCCAGCGGAAGTTCGCAAGGCTTTATTTCAAGGGGAGGGTTATGGCAACCGCGGGCTCACAACTTTGTACACTTAGTGCCATTGTAAGTCGACCCGACATAATGGAAAATCCTTTTTATTTGGCATGGACACGCAATGTGGTGTACATATAACTTTAGTACGTAGGTACTATGTAATAATGTAGCAATATTACCTACTGTTATGATAGCGAAGATTATTTATTAAAATTTATATATGAAGTAGAAACACACATAGGAGGTAGCAATGTATATATTTCCATCTATTTGAAATATAACTTCCGTCAAATACCTAGACTAGTGTTTATATAATTATCTACTGAGCTAAACGCAACAGTCAAGAAATGAGAATAAGTAAATACTTAAATTATTATGGCAAAAGAGGAAAGAGTTCATTTTTCACATTAACATATAGGATACTGTTCGCGAATTAGTCGCGAGAAATCGTGGGGAATACTAACATGTTCAATGCCAAAAATTCAATCATTTATTATAAATCAATGATAAATAATTAGGTATGATTTGTGTTTCTATTTGCCAAATTCTCTTGGAAGATTCTTATAAAATCATGATAGTTAATTTGGAGTTTATTTGTTAATGACAACATAATACAATGTTAGACTCAAATAAAGATTCTGATTTTATTTGGTCAAGTCGCGTTTGTACATAATATTGATTTGGAGTTTTCTTTGCTTATCGTTTGATTTCAATCTGTTAGTGATTTGCAATATCAATTTAACTTTTAATACGCAGCTACAGTACGAAGTTGCCCTGAACACAAATTTGTATGCACAATTGGATACTGCATTCCAGCCTCATGGCAATGTGACTATGAGGCCGACTGCCCTGACGGTTCTGATGAACATCAATGCGGTAAGAGCATGCTCGATACAATCAGCATGTTACAGGACAATTATTGGCATGAGGAAGACGATAATAGAAAAATGTCTGCACTAAGAGCATGCAATAAAAATAATATTCGTGGGTAAATCTAAAAGTCTAATATTTAGGTAAATACAATTTATGAAAAAAAAATAAAAAAAAAATACGTGAATTATAAAAATATTGTAATACAAAACAGAAAACAAAGCAACGGAAAAATATAATTATGATTACATTAACGTACCTATGTACCACAAAGGATTTTTTATCAAATTTTCTTAAAAGAGAAAGGGAAATTTGGAACGAATGAACGTAATAATTGTATTTGAAGACATATCAAATAAGTAATTTCGTTTGAGCTCAATCTAAAGTTTTCGTTTATCTCAGTACAATTGTATTTGAGTTTTCAACAGTTATGAAGTCGTCGGGTGTGTATTTTCCTTTATTCGTGTCACATCTCAGCCCAAGCATTGATTTTAGGATTACACAGAAAGGTATTAGTAATGAAGTGCATGAAGTTGCGATGATATTAAATTAATTTAGTTTTATGACGTGTCATCCTCCAATTTCTGCTCGGGCGTTATATCATATTACTCGCATCGTACATACTTAGCATGTGCATGACTTGGGTTGGCAGAAGTGGAGGCTTGCGATCCTGAAGAGTTCACTTGCCGGGGAAAGCACGGAGAATGCGTGCCGCTCACCTGGATGTGCGACGACAATCCTGACTGTTCCGATGGATCTGATGAAAAAGCATGCAGTAAGAGTTTTTTAACTTTTCTTTCAAATAGTGTAAATTTTTAATTATCTATGATATGTTTTATGTATAAGTAAATAACTATTATATTGTTTATCTATAAGTAAGTACGTTCTTTTTTTACTTCATATTTGGGTCTCCATTCATTTATTTTTTGGTCACACCATCATTTGATTGCAAAATTAATATAGCAAGAATTGGTTATACGTGTTATTATTATTATCTAATTATGTTTTTAGCTTCAATCCTGAAATTTATATGATGAAAATTGCATGATCTTAACTGCTTTATCATATAATCGTAAAGGTCGCTTAAATAGCACAAAGAGCATGACTATATAATATATGAGCAATAATGTTACAACGCCGCTGTAAACATTATCTTCAATTTAATTTATTGGTTGTAATGTTTTAAAAGAAAACAAAGTTTACCCACGTTTTTAAACCTTTGATGGACCCGATGTTTAACTATTCCTCTTCGGCTTCGGCAGTATCAATCAATCATTGGGGGTCCCACCCCAACCAAACACTCTGTATTCTATCAACGCCCGGCTCATCCGTCTATAAATTCTTATCTACCCGCACCGGTTCGACCCGCCCTGAAGCGTGAGCGATGACGTTGCGTGTGTACCCCAACACTCGCCAAATTTCTTAGGCTCCTGAAAGCATCGCTATGATTATGTCATAACTAATTCCATTATTTGCCTATATAGTTATAATGATAATAACAGAATATTGAATATAATCGAAGTCCTATCTAAGACAATTACAGTGGTTTGATGTCAATTATATAATCAATAAAATAAGATACCTTATTCCTGATTATAATACAGGAACAAGGTATCTTATTTTATGTAAATTAAGACCCAGTTTCAAATTTCGGTTGCTGTAATTTAAGAAATGAAATTCTCTAAATTAGATAGTGTTAAAAACTTTGAACTATGACAAGAAGAGGGGATTACTTTCTTACATTTTGTAGTAAACCGTAGTTAATTTATAGTGAGAAATTTGCGTGATGTTCTAGGCATACTTATATAAGAGGTATTTTTAAAACCCTATAATATACGAGTGTTACGTGTGTCGTCCATCGTTTTATTATACGAAAGTTTTTTTTCTAAATTATGTATATATTTTTGTAAAGAAATTTAATTAAATGGAGATATTTCAGAACTAGAGACTATAGAGCGATATAATAAAAAAAAAGTGTAACAGAGGCGACATTTGAAACGAGGGACTAGAAAATGAAATACTTTGCAAGATAGCAATAATTTTTTTGTGTTAGGGTTATTTTTATTTTCCTTTCTTCGTTATTTATATCCCTACCGTGCCATGGATTAATATTAAATTACTGTTTTTCCAATTGCTGGTTAACATGCTCTCTGTGTTAATTTTTTTTGTGGTATATTCATGTTTTACATATATTCAATTATTCTTTGCATGTTATTTTATGTATGCAATACAAATTACAGCTTTTCTTTTAAAATTGGATAATTTATTTACCTTTCTAGTTTATATAAGTACTTAAGGTTTTTTAATTAGGGAACAAATAAGTTCTGTCTGAAGGAGGAATCAAGAGTCGAAACCGGAGTATATGCATGAGACTAATTATAGAAGTGAATTGAGTAAGAGACGTATATAAGGATTTGACAATTGATTCTCTCTGTGTATCTCGAAAGAATTTTTGTGAAAGTAGGTCCACTAATAATAAAGTATTTGTTCAATATTAAACAGAAAATAAAAAGATTGTAGTTACCCATCGAAAACTCAAAGTCCTATTTTTTTAACATTTTTTTTTTATATACAGAGACCGACCAAATTCGTTGTGTTAAGAAATTGTTCTTTCTTACATATTTACTCCTATATATGTCTGTGTTGATGAGTTAAAAATTATTTTTTTATATCCAGATGAAACATGTCGTTCTGATGAATTCACATGCGGGAATGGAAAATGCATACAACAACGATGGGTTTGTGATGGCGATGATGACTGTGGCGATGACAGTGATGAAGTGAAATGCCCAACACCTACGTGTCAACCTCACACGCATTTCTCTTGTGCGGATGGCCATTGCATATCTGCTAGATGGCGCTGTGATGGAGATATTGACTGTCCGGATGGAAGTGATGAGATGGTAAGTATCTTGATAATAGAGGTTTTATTTATAATACGAGTACTTTCCAAAATATAAGGGCATGATTATATGAACATTGATAACTGGTCACACACTGTACGATCACACACTTGCTATACACTGATGTAACTTTATAAGCAAAAGTTTTATGAGATTTATATTCGGTTTATTTCATATGCAAAATTTATTTAGCTCTTACATAGTTGTATTGGATGGAAAAATGTACAAGCACAGAAGCCGTAAAAGTTAATAGCCACATTACGCAACTTTACTGATCATATTTATTATCTTTATATAGGATAGTGTAAATACTAAAACTATTTAACGGCGATTATAGAACAATTAGGCTACATAAAAGTATTTAGATAGACCGTATGCTAGTAAAGTATTTTGTTGGTAACTGTTTAAATTTTACTTATAACACTCATGCTTACAGCTTGCAAAATCTACATTACGAGGTTTGTCCGGAAAGTACGTATAAAAGTTTTTTAAAAATTTTATTTTACAATTATTCAGGTAAATCAATTTTATCCCCTTCAAAGTACTCCCCCTGTGACATAATGCACTTGTGCCAACGCCGTTTCCACTGTGAGAAGGCTCCTTGAAAGTCCTCTGGTTGTAGGTTTCTCAGCTGCCCCGTCGTAGCTTTTTTTATCTCATTTATGTCCCCCAAATGCCGCCCCCGAAGTACCAATTTGGTTTTTGGGAACAAGAAGAAGTCACACGGGGCCAAATCCGGCGAATAGGGGGGTGTTCGGTCACCGTAATGGAATTTTTACTCAAAAACTCACGGACAACAAGAGAGGTGTGGGCAGGGGCATTGTCGTGGTGAAGAATCCAACGCCCCTCTCGCGCCAATTCTGGACGAACTCGTGCCACACGAGCTTTGAGGCGTCTGAGCACATCGACGTAGAATTTTCCATCAACTGTCTGGCCTGGAGGGACGAATTCTTGATGGACAATCCCCCGAACATCGAAAAAAACAATCAACATTGTCTCGGCCCTCTCTGAATCTTTTTAGCCACTTGTGGACGGTTGGTTCCTTCACAGCATCATCCCCATAAACTGTTCTGAGATCGGCAAAAATTTCACGGCCATTCTTGCCGAGTTTCGAGAGAAACTTGATTACGACGCGCTGCTCTTCAACGGAAGCGGGCTCCATGCCGACGGGGTTTCGTTAAGAGGTAACTTCACAGATGGCGTGACAAGCCAGTTCGCACCGCACGGCGGTCAGACCAGAACTGAAGCATTGTTAGGGACATAAGGAAGGGGTCCTGCGCTTACCTGGCCTCCCCACTCCTCTTTCTCGCATTCCAGAACACTTTTATACGAACTTTCCGGACAGACCTCGTATTAACATGGCTGACATATTCTTACTAGACGAGATAATACTAATTTGGGTCTCACCTAACAAAAGGAATATCTTAACCTATTAATCGTATTACCTCGCTTGCTAGGCGAATTGGTAAAGGATTTTCTTTTGAGGTTTTTTTTCTCTTGCATTGATAATCCACTCGTAATTTATTCTCTTAATCACCTCTTTCGACTCTCTTCTGGGGTTGAAAGAAGACGTAACACATTTGATATATTCTTATATTGTTATCACACAGTTTTTTTCTGCTTACTAGCAATGAAATAAATGCTGTGCGCATGACAATTTTTGAGTCCTATCGATTTTTAATTGATTATTAAGTAAGTTAACTATAATCACACTGATCATGGTTTTGATAATATAAAATATTAATATTCATATTCGTATATAGAAGTATAAAATGTCGTAATTCAACGCTGATTTTTTTGTTCTGTAACGAAGTGTGTACATTTATGTCAGTTCATATGTTTGTTTGTATACAACATTAATTTCATTGCGAACACTTCCTTTTCGGATCCAACCCAATGGTCTCTGTTTATATAACAAAACATTTGATTAGGTATATTTTATTTGTTCTTTTATACGCCCTCATATTCCCACAAGGCACTCTCTGAGCGGATATATTTTCGTGTCTCAACATTCATTTGGAACATTCCCAATTTGCCCTCGTATAATTACCATGTTATACAGTCTATAATCATATCGTTTGCACAGCAATAGAATATACTGTTTCCATGTACTTCTAGAAAATAAAAAATAAAGGTATAGGTATATTATGCAAGACCCTATGATTAATTAAAAACAGATCTCATGTATAAAATTGATTAAGCCTTTTGTTAGTAAAAGACTTTTATATAACTGGACTAACTTTGCGCTAAAGTTATCTGGCAGATTTATATTATAGAAATACTGTCAATGTATGGAAATATATTTTTCCAGCAATTATAGGACGACTGAGAACATTCCAAAACGATTGAAGTTTAAACCGGGAACTGTGCTCTTATCAATATGTTTAATTAATGATAGTTTACAGGATATTTTCTGCATTTTAGGACTTACTTAATTTTTCTGTAATTAATAAGTCTGTTTACTTCATAAAACCCTTGTCTTTTTGGTTTGCTGAAAGAAATCTCTTAATAGAGATAAGCTCGCCTTTGTACATTACATTTAAAATAAATTGTTCTTATCATTATATTTGTGCACATTAGTCATGTCATTTTGATTTTAATTTTATAAATATTTTAACGCCATCTAGTAATAACAAAATCAATTAGATCTTCTTTGCATGCTTTGAGGGCGAGCGAGATAGGGGCCTCGGGGAGTACCCCATTGCCCCAGCTTCAATTCCGGAGGCTACCACCTCCGGGTCCCTCGATTTTTAGCCGACATACACAGGTGATATGTGTATGTCGACGTGACATCCTCTTCTATCTTTTTTTGATGTAGGCGGTAGTGAGGGAGGTGTAGTTGATCAGAGAAAATAAGTATAACAACTAACTTTGTCTATTCACATATATTATATACAGAAGGTAAATATTATATACAAAGGAATATGTAGAAAATAATATATAAAAACGGAAATTAGAAGTTCGATATGGAGAAATCGATAGCAAAATGAATGTAAGAAGTAAACGTCGCTGTTGTCTGTACGACCAGTCCGAAAGAAAGAAAGAGGTGAAATATGTATGTACAATTAAATTAACCCTCTTGATGGAAAAGAAAGTAATGATGTTGATAAGTGGCTATGTGATGAATATGTACAATATTTATTTACAGACGCCACAGAGGTTCCTCTTAAATATAATAAGATAATCTTTCTTCAACCCTCTCATCAGTTCCCAATAAATATAATATGGTGTTAGTAAAATTAATAAATTCTTCACACATTGTTAACTGACACAAGAAGCGTGTCGACCCGGCATAATTACAAACTTAGAACGGGTAAGAGGGAGGAAAGAGAAAGAAGAGAGTGAGGCTTATGGGTATAAGAAAGTGTCGTCGTTTTGGACGACGAGGTATCACGGTCGCTATTCGCTCGTGCACAGGAGGTCCCTAGGCGTGGGCCGGCAGTCCGGTGGACACGCATGCGGCGCTTGGCGCATTAGGTGGAGATGCGGTCCGCCGTTGGCACGAGCGAATATTTTGCTCGCCATGCCGACGACGAACTCTTCGATTGACGGGACCCTTAAGCTGTAGGCGATGACGTCGTTGTGGACGTATCTGCCCGCTCTCGCGCATAAGCGATGTTTTGCTGGGCTTGCAGCCGGTGCCTTAGCATCGGAGAACATAGTGCATACCAAGCGGGGCGGCGTAAGTGAGCCGTGAGAGTAAGGACCTACGTCCAGGTCTTGTAAATGGAGACCCGCATCCGCAACGGTAGTCTGGATGAGAGTACCGGTCAGAGAAAGACGCACACCGCGCAGCCTGAGTGATAACAAAAGTATCACCATTACAATACTGTACAAATGTACAATAAGTACTAGAGGGCGTTTCGATAAAAAAATAAGCATTACACATCGGACGATATTCCAATTTTAAATAAAAACACTTAAAATATGTAATAAAGAACAATTTATAATGTTTTTTCAGGAATGTGTATCAACACCGAAGACAACATCACCGTGCCTGTCAGCAGAGTTCGAGTGTCGTGATCGCTTAACATGCGTGCACAGAGCATGGGTGTGTGACGGCGACCGCGACTGCCCTGGTGGTGATGATGAAGCGCCGGAGCTCTGCAGAGGAAACGTCACGTGTAGACTGGATCAGTTTCAATGCAAAGACCACAGCTGCATCCCAGGAGCGTTGTATTGCAACGGAGACAAGGACTGTCCAGATGGCAGTGATGAATTTAATTGCAGTAAGTTTTCTTTATAAAATACTTAATGTACATAAAGTATTTATATTACAACTGATAATCCTTACTAATCCTGTTACAATAATGATAAACGTAAAAGATTGTGAAGATATAGAATGTATATTTGTTATTCTTTCATATAACCACTGAACAGATTTTAAAGAAATTGGGTATACAAATACGTATATCCTAACTGAAAACATAGGATATTTTATATAATGATTTACGCGGACGAAGCCATGGGGTACAGCTAGAAATATAAACAATAAAATCAATTTGTTATCTTTATCGTCTTGAAATTTGGCATGTCTCTACGTGTATTTACTATTTGGAATAGAAAAGGACAGGCTACTTTTTATCCCGGTTAATATATCGTGGTCTAGTAGATGTAGTCACAGGAAAAAATTAGTATTATAATAGGTATAACTGGGCAAAGGTAGTAAAGTTATTGGTTATAACTATATAAACCTAACCTTACATTATATCTTTATATCAGGATTATACTTAATATTCTAATTTAAAAATCGTCTTGATCACTGAAAAAAAAAGTGATTTTGTTTTGTTTAAAAAAAAAACAAGTGTCAACTCATTTGACCTTTGGCGAACTAAAAGTTGTTCCGTTTTTTACAATTGGTGCTTTATCTATATAATCTAAGTATGAATGTATATTATATACGCTAATATTCATGGCCTTGACTTCTATAAGTATATGAATAATCTGTTGACTTCATTGTTAAACACTCATTCATTTCATTTCATATGAAAAATATCGGCTAATAAATATTATAATATTCCACAGCCCGTTCAAAGCCTGTATGCGACAAGAAAACAGAATTCGATTGCGGTGGTGGCATGTGTATTCCGCTGTCGAAGTTATGTGACAAGAAGCCAGATTGTCCAGATTTTGAAGATGAGCCCAGGGACAAGTGCGGGGAGAACGAATGCGCAAAGAACAATGGCGGATGCACGCAGCGTTGTGTTGACACCCCTGTCGGTTACTACTGCGATTGTGATAAAGGATATAAGCTCATTGACAACAGAACATGTGAAGGTGCGTAATTTACTTACAAAGGTTATATTTTAATACTTTAGAACAAATCGAACGAAATTAAATTTTGAGGAAACATCATAATGCTAGAATGAAATCTGTACGAAATATATAGGAAATGTTTCCAAAATTAACCCAAGAGCTGATACAACTGTTAGGAACTACTTGCATAAGCTTCCAGGTTTATTACACACTTTTAAATATTTGACAGGTTTAGGCCACGCGAATACAAACTGGCCTATTTTGTCTATCCTTTTAGTTGCAATTTTGCAAAGCAGCTCCATTTAATCTGCAAAACTGTCAGGTTTTAAGTGCCCATAATAAGACTCTAACCGGTAACGTTGCCGTGACTGGCATAACTAAAACAAATTATGAACTTTTTATTTTACCGACAACACTAATTAGACCTTTATCGTCATTTGTATGTAAAATAATAACCCTCGACAATTCAAGACCTCTTTTTCTTTAATAGCTAGGTACTTTTTAGAAAAAAAGAATAGTTAAAATTCTATCAGTATACTCGAAAGGCTGCCTCGTTGAGACGTGTTGGGACATAATGAAAATTGTCATTTATGGACAGTTTAAATATGTCCAATGAAAGCCGTCTTAAACAGACGGTTTTCAATTTAATTACGATTTTTCTTATTATTTGACGATATCTATGTCGCAATTCTAGGCATATTTCTTATTACATTTATAACTAGATTAATTTCTTACAATAATTAATTCATTTATTGACGATAAAATCGAAAATATCTAAGGATAAGATTAAGTATTAAGTTCGCCCTGTGTGCATATTTAAATGTGTTTAAAAGAATGAATGAATAAGATCAATAGTGATTATTAATTTTTTTTTTTTTAAACATTGATAATTAAAAATTGTGTACGACAAAAAAAGCAATTTTAATCTTGACAAAGTATTAAAATAAAACCAATACGGGAATTTACTACCAACTTAAAAAAAAAGAGTTATACAAAGCAGTTTAAAATTAGCGTATCGAGTACAATATAATATACACAAAAATATATGGATGGAAACCCTCCTTTTTTAAAGTACTTTATTCAGAATAGGTAATTCACTTCTTTGGATACCTACTCCTGAAGAATTCAACGACTTAGGTATCAACCCAAGCTGCTTAACGGATTTGATAGCAAACACACATGGTTTCTGGATTATTTGTGATAATTTTTATAGTAATAAACAAAAAAAAAATTAAAACCTTTTTATAAACCTGTTTCAACTACAGTGAACGCTCTATATAAGCAACTCATTTAAACCAATTTTAATAAAAAAAAATCTTGTTGGGATAAGTTGCATATAGGGAAAAAAAGAGTATAAAAATACTTTACCATCTGGAAAATATTTCTACTTATTTCTTTTACTAAGCTAAGTAGAATAAATAAAATATAAAAAATGTTGCTTATAGAGATGTTGCTTATATAGATCGTTCACTGTATTAGAGCTTTATCACTCTTTCAAATTGGTAATTTAACGCACAAGAAAAACAGAACACTTTAATAACTAAAATAGAATAATCATACGTTTAAATTATTTTTATTTCTTTTATTTTTCAGATATCGATGAATGTGCTGATCCGGGCGCCTGTTCTCAAATGTGTATCAACGAGAAAGGTACATTTAAATGTGAATGTCATGCCGGATATGCACGGGACCCACGCGATCGCACAAGGTGTAAAGCTACAGAAGGCCATCCGTCTCTACTGTTCGCTAGACGATTTGACATCCGCAAAATCAGCCTTGATCACCATGAGATGGTAGCCATCGTTAATGATACGAAGTCGGCGACAGCACTGGATTATGTTTTCAGAACGGGCATGATATTTTGGAGTGATGTTGCTGATGAGAAAATCTACAAGTGAGTTATTGATCGACTGCTTGCACTAATAAATATGATACTTCTTTATGTATAATAATGAAATGCTAACGCAGCTTGTGCCATCAGTATACATTGGCGGAGCATCAGTGAGATGATAGGCGATGATGAAAGTAGGCTAATTAGTCCACTCGATGGTTTCGATGTCCACCTGTCAAGGTGTGTTAATTATTAGTTATAGTAAGTCCGTTAGTCCCCATTGTTAACAATCTCTTTTTCCCAATTAGGATAATTAGCAGGTTTTGTTGACATATGCTCAGCAGCGAAAAATTAAAGACAAAAATGATGACGACGCCAAATTTAGGACTCCAAAGTTTAAGTTTGATATTGAAAATTATAAAAAATACAATTAACAAACTAAATTAATTTAAGAAATGGCAGTAGGCTCGCGCATTGTTAACTTATCTACTATCATTGAAGGTTTCGATGTCAATTAATTTGGTGTCGGTTAGAACTTAATTCACCACTTCAGTGTAAGACGCTGATGACATGACACGCACACTCGGAGTCATTAACCACCAGGTGCTATCTGAATATTATTTAATTAATTTAATCACTTAAAAATAAAGACAAAGAATTAATTCCGATAAGTAACCCTTTTGTATCTACTTATCCTATAAAAGTATCTAATACTCATGATCTAATATTGATCAATTCAAAGTAATTGGATTTCGAGGGTAAAATACTTAAGGTACTCCATTTACAGAATAGGAAAAACAAAAGTTGCATTACGTCTGTTTTTCCTGTTATATAAAGAAGTGGGATGGGGAGGAGTGGCGCGTGTAATAATTAATTAAGAAATTCAATGTACTCACTCTAAAGAAGACTTCTGGGTGAAGTTGAAACAATTGTCATAAACGACAAACATAGCAAGTTCTTAAAATTCCCATGATACATGTATATAGAATACAATATTATATTAAATCTTACGCAAAACTACGCACTTAATGGAATGGATATAATTCATCCGTGAGTCTTTCATTTCGTTGAATTAGCATATTTAAGTAAGTACCCTATTTAGTTTCAGATTAGATGGATGATGTATGTTTGATATATTTTACTTAACTAAGTATTATCTTACGGAAGTCCATATCACTGGTTATTTGATTACAATTATTTTGTTTGATTCCGCTACTATTAGCATGTGTGTGACTGCCAACACTTGAAGATCGGTCATCACTATTACTTCCAGAAATTCTAGAACCTTGCTATTAGCTTTTAACGAGGCATCTGCAGGCTTGAAGATGTTTTATTTAGAGGTGAAATACGTGTCGCAATACGTGCGTGAATAAAATGACAGTAAGAGATCAATGGCCAATGTGGAAGGTTGTGGAACTTTTGATAGTAATAGTGGTAGTCAATCTTTGAGTGTTGGTAGTCACACATAGCAATGATAACGGAATTAAACATACATACGTATTTATTTATTTTTATATCAATCAGTCAAAATTGAAAATTTAATTAGCAGAAACCTCTATATTCTAAGCAACTTGGTCTTCTTTTAAATGAAACACTGTCATTGCAGATAGTTTTATCAAGAGAGCAAGGAATGACAATTTTTTTTATTCAACTTAGAATGGCAAACAAGCTGACGGCCCACTTGATGGAAAATGGTAACCGTCGCCTATAGATATGAGCAGTACTATGGACATAACAGAGTATAATGTTTCGCCCATGATACCCCCCATGCGTTGCCATTCCTGAGGACTCAGGTGTTATTCCTTTGTATCCAGTAAATTCACGCCATATCCCACCCTTCAAACTGAAACACAGCCATGCAAACACAACTGCTTCACGGTTGAAACACGAATGGAACAGAGGTACTCAAGCAATCGACTTTTGTACAAAGTCTCCCTCTGGTAATTTCAATAGTGATATTAAAAGAGAGACTATATATCTAATAAAAACGCACAATTAGGCACTCCAAAGTCAGAAGACATATAATTAATATATTTATATGCTTCTTTTATTTTAGAGCGCCAATTGATGAAGGTAGTCAACGTACTGTTGTCATCGGAGATCAGCTGATCACATCTGACGGATTAGCTGTGGATTGGATATACAACCACCTTTACTGGACGGACACAGGCAAGAACCATATCGAGCTGTCAGACTTGCAGGGTAATATGAGGAAGATACTCATCAGGGATCAACTGGAGGAGCCAAGAGCGATCGCACTTAACCCACTTGATGGGTAAGTTCATATAATTTTTATACTAATTCTACAAGTAATAATTCGTTGGACCGATTACAAAGTTATTTTAGGATTAGTCGGATTATGTTATGCCTTTACCTACAGTAGAAAATTGATCAATATTAATGTAAGGAAAAATGTGCCTAGACTAACGTATAATCATTATCAAGTAATATGTAGCTTATACTAAGAACTTGTTTTGCTAAGGATTTGTAAGATAAGGCAGTGGGTATTAAATAAATAATATAAATATTACCTGATTATCACATACCTAAACAAGAATACTATGAGCCATAATAAAGTAAGTATTATTGAAAGAATAAAAACCGATAAGCGGATTCATAGAGATGAAATTACTTGGTATATTGGTTAGCGCACGTTTCGTCAAACACTACGAGTCTTTACATAAATAAGTAATATGTTGGTATACAATTTTGGTATGTATATTTTTATATATTTGTAAATCTAAAAGAATCCTTAACATGATCATATTTTACTAATATGATAAAATTGTAACTAGACGATGTCTGTACATGAGAGACACTTAAGAGAAATTGATATAACGGATAATTAATAAGAGCAATACATGCCAACACGAGCGTTTTTATAAAATTTGTCTGTTTGTATGTTTGTTCCGACATCTTACTCATCATTACTGTTATGTTAAATTAAAGAATCGTTAGAAGAAACTTATTGCTAATAATCTAATAATTTAATTATGTTTTACAGATAAAAGTTACCTTAAGAGGTAGTAAACCTTAATAAAAAAAAAAAAAAAAAAAAATATATATATATATATATATATATATATATATATATATATATATATATATAAAGCTCTAAAATATAATGTGTTACATATTACATCAAAGAATATATCGTATCGATTCATAAAGTATTATCGATAAAAAGTATAACCTATTTTAATCAAAAATATCAAGATTGAGAACCTTATCGCCGTGATTTTATCATGCGCTTAACTGAATTTTATAATATACGTAAATAATACGTCATAATAAATCAATTATAACAACGCGTGATGACAAAATGAAATCTGAGCTAAAAAAATTATTGAAAATAATTTCCGATTGCGATAAAAGTTGTTGATATTAGCATATATAATTATACTTATCATAAGTGAAATCTTAATGTGCTGTGTCATTGTCAATTTTGTCAATATGGTTTAATTGTAATTTTTATTTACTTAAAGACTGTGAAATGTCGGAACATTTTTGAGAATAATATAACATACAAGTGAAGTGGTAGACCATGGTGATGGTTTCATTATTCTTTCAAACAAGACGTTCTTATACATACTGACTACAATTAATTACATGTCATAAATTGAAATTATTATTTACTCACCTGGGTGTTATTTTGCGGAAGTTCATATCACTGGTTAGTTAATTAGTATTTTGTTTATTTCGCTATTATTAGTATGCGTGCGACGACTACCAATACGCGGAGATTAACTACTGTTATTATGTATTACCAAAAGTTCTACAACCTTCCATATTAACCATCAATCTTCTACCGCCAATCCGTTCATGCACGTTTTGCGACACGTGTTTCACCTTTAAACGAGGCATCTTCACTTAATAGATCACTGCACGGAGTATAGTGTTATACAAAGTTCCGTTCAGCGCCCAAACTGTGACATTACACATTGTGACACAACGTGGTTTATCAGTAATGACCATAGGAACAGTAGAAACGCGTAAAGTTATTATAGTATTGGTGTTATCTATACTATAAGAATATAAATAGGAAAGGTTTGATTGTTTATTATGGATAAACTCAAAAACTACTTAACCAATTTTAAAAATTCTTTCCTTACAGAAAGCCACATTATCAGCAAGTAACGTAGGCCTATTATTTTTAAAATTCTAATAACACGTGTGAAACCGGGCCGGTTCGCTATTATCTATATGAAGGATGGTATAAAAATTAAAATAATTTAGACAATCTTAGTTATGTAGCAATTTAACACACTGCCTCAACTTGCAATGGTTGTGGGTTCTGATAATGATGATTGAATTAAAACACACTGCATGCAAAAATAGTTTATATTAAAAACCGAATCTTGACAAAATTTCTTTCATATTTGAAGGAAGATGTTAAAAAAGATTTCTATTAAAAAAATAATCAGATAGTCTCGAAACTAGTTGAGCTTTCTCGACTAAAATATACGTAAGTTAATCCGGTCGTTATTATACTAAAATATAATGTGCAATAAACTAAGATAGCAATATACATATAAAAAATATTTGAATTAGAACTCTGTTTTAATAAAGGATAAAGACAAACAAAATAAACTAAATGATTGTAATTAAACGTCATGAAGAGTATTACTTAACGTTATGCAGGTGAATAAATCAATTATATAACAAATAAATAACATTTGTCTGTCTAGCTGGATGTACTGGACCGACTGGGGACAGACACCTAAAATCGAACGGGCCGGAATGGATGGATCGCAACGCCAAACAATCGTCTCCTATGAAGTCAAGTGGCCCAACGGCCTCACTTTGGACCTCGTGCGCAAGAGAGTCTATTGGGTAATATATCTTCTTTATATTATATTCTTTATATACGGCATTTATTTGATGTTCCGATATGAGGAATAGAGTTGGCCAAGTAAACTCCCCTCTCTCTTGCATTGATACTACTCAATGAAGGTTTGAGCCAGTATCCACAATTAGACGTATTTGACTGCAAATTACTGGAGTGTCGTCGATTGACCGCAGAATGGTTATAGTTAGATATTTAAGATATAAATGTTATTTCTATTATTGTTGTGGGTTGTATGATATTTTAAACTTATTAATATGTATTATTATTGTTTAAATTATAATTGTAATGTGTTATTGTATTGATGCTTTCCTGGGTGAGTGTATTGGGAGACTGGAAAACTCACCCATGTGATGAAATAAATAAATATAAGTTTGTTATTGTACGTATGAAAATGAACACGAAATCGGATGTTTCTGTCTCGTTCTATTTTATGGCAATAGTATAAAAAAACGTGTGTTGATAAATTGTTTGCCATTTCTGATATATAACACTTGTGCTTCCATACCACCATGTTATCTTTATAAACATTACGGCCATTCATTAAAGAATCAGTTGATTGATGGGAAGAAACAAAGAATTGATTGATAAGAAGATACGAAGTTAATTGATTAATGCCAACAATTTCTTTTTTCTGATAATTGAATAAGTAATTATGATGTTTACAAAATAAGTGATAAAACTCATAACGATGACGTCAATGTCTAATCACACAAATAATTTAATTTAGCGAATGACTGCAGCACATATTAATAATAATTTGAATTTAATTTTAAGGTTCGCGTATTTGCCACAAGAATGGCAAAAGTATAATAAAACATCATAATAAAACAAACATCCTACATCTATTTTCTATACTCGTATGCGAAACTTTGTAATGTGTTTCTATGAATGGATGTTTAATACTCTTTCAAGCAAACTCTATTAAAGGTATTACAATGAAATGTGGTACATGTATATAGGTATAGGTAATATCCTAAGTTAAAATATATGAGTAGAATAATTTGTATACTGATTTAGCTTATAATGAATATTGTTTATAATGGGTAGTGAGCAAAGTCGCGGGAATCTGCTAATATTACAGAACCCGTGAGTTTAAAAAAAAACGACTGTTCGATAAAATCTATAGCCGCCATAGTAATTTTATACTCCTATCATAGAAGATCATAGCATATCATCCTTACATTTGTAACGGTCATAAAGACAACTTTTAATGGTACATATATATTATCGTCTACCCTTGAACAAAATCTTAATCGGCTATACAAATTCCAAACATAGCAGGTAAGAGTCTATACACAATTATATAAGAGAGCAAGAAAATGACTTTGATATAATGTTATTTTAAAATTACTGATAAATATAGGTGCAAAAGGTCTAAAAGGTACAGGTTATCTGAACCAGGATGATAATTATTTTATAATATTGCCATTTTTATATGATTGTATTAATTAATAAATTGTGGAATAAATGACGACACAGATAGTGGGGCTGATTCTGAAGCATCACCTCTTTAAACCTGTCTCAACCTAAAATTTTAATTGAATAATTTATGCAAAATTGCTGTTTTATGGGTCATGCTGTAATTTTGTTATTGACATTGCTGTTATATGGCCATTAAAGTTATAATAGTTTTGATTTAAGTCTTTTAAAAAAATTAGTTCATAGTGGTCCTTACAATAAAGATTTCGCTCTGATATCAAATTGGAATATTTATTTTAGAGATTGGTTTAGAGAAATGGCGCCTCAAAATCGACCCCAATAAAAGGACTTTTTTTTCTTTTATCATCTGAAAGATCACATAATAGTGTTACACAAAAGAAATTTGCTGCACTGATGAGATTTTTTTAATATTAATAATTGTAAATCTACTGTCAGTTCATCTATGTTTGTACTTATGTTATAAAGAGGAAAGATTATTGTTTGTTTGTAATGAATAAACTCAAAAATTACTGAAACGATTTTAAAAATTCTATCTACCCGAGCAAAGATTCTGATAGTCATATAGACAGGGTAACATATATGTAGGTACCGGTGGTACTTTTCATACATTGATTATTGCATATTATGAACCGAGAGACGTACATATTTCTTATCAGAGACTGCTATATACTTATTGTTTTTTATATCAAATTTCGAAATACAATTAAAATATAAACAGGTATTTATATTTATGCTTGGTTGAGTATTAAAAATTGCGTAAATTTGTTACAAAATACATAGTTACACATAACTTACCAGAGGGAGACTTTGTACAAAAGTCGATTGCTTGGGTACCTCTGTCCCATTCGTGTTTCAACCGTGAAGCAGTTGTGTTTGCATGGCTGTGTTTCGGTTTGAAGGGTGGGATATGGTGTGAATTTACTGGGTACGGAGGAATAACACCTGAGTCCTCAGGAATGGCAACGCATGGGGGGTATCATGGGTGAAACAGTATACTCTGTTATGTCCATGGTACTGTTCATGTCTATAGGCGACGGTTACCACTTTCCATCAGATGGGCCGTCAGCTTGTTTGCCATTCTAAGTTGTATAAAAAAAAAATATACGTTACATTTAGGAGGTAGTGCCAAATTACAACGAATTTCACGAGTTTTACGAACGAATGAAAATAATTATAGTGCGACGCTCTTCGTCCGTTTTGTTAAAGAAAGGCACTTACAATATTTTAAATATTTTAATCAAATTATAATTATTTACATTGACTTCTCATATGTTTATATCATATTTGAAGCTGGCCGATTAGTTACGGATTCCATAGAAGCTTTTATACTTTTTAATAAGGTTTGCAAAACGTACAGATAAACATAAGTAAATATATTTTTTTATATTTTGGCATGACTTACGGCAGTATTCGTTTAACAAAAGATCTAAAAAGTTGAAACCTTGGCTGTTTTTAACAAAAGGTGGATGCCAAACTGAACACGATATCTTCGTGCAACTACGACGGATCGGCTCGGCGCGTCATCCTGTACTCGACGGACGTGCTTCGTCATCCGTTCTCCATCACTACATTTGAAGATTGGGTGTACTGGACCGACTGGGACAAGACAGCTGTATATCGCGCCAACAAGTTCAATGGAAAAGATGTTGAAGCTATCACCTCTACTCATACAGTAAGTGACAGACTAAAATACTGATTTTATTTTGACTTCATTGCTTATTAAACATAGGACTCCCCCATTCGATAGGCTACAAGGAAAGGCTCTAATCGTTATCTAATGCAGTACTCGTATTTCTTGAAATCTATGTTTAATATAGGCAAGAGTTTGTGTAGACATGGTTCATTTTTTGTTTCATGTGGCATTTTATAAAAACGGTTGCTTACACTTTCTTCGATAGATATTTTTTTTATGCAACTTAGAATGGCAAACAAGCTGAAGGCCCACCTGATGGAAAGTGGTAACCGTCGCCTATAGACATGTTGTTGTATTTATCTATATAAGTAAACATATGATGTTCTACTTTTAACTTGAATTCCATTAAAAATTATATCCCGATAGAAGTTTGGATAGTAAAGTAAAAACAATAAATACAACCGAATTCAGAACCTCCTTTTTGATGTTGGTTGAATAGAGAATTCATTGCTCACGCGCTTTGTATTATGAGCTACTTGCGAGTATTTGTTATTCACAGCCATTAAATAAAGGTTTAAGTTGGAGAAATATGTTCGAAAATACAACAAACTGAATAAATAAAATTTAATTAGGTAGTTACAGAAACAAATTTTTAGAAATATGTATAAAATACATTTTTACTTAGATTATTCCATGTTGACCAAGTATGATTTTATCTAAAATATTAATAGAAAATAATTATTATAAATATATCTGAATTACGTGATCTTTTGCAAAAGTCCATATCACTAGCATAAGATAAATAATTCACTGGTTAGTTGACTAAAGTTATTTTCGCAGTCGAGCGCATAGTAATGAGAATTTAATAAATTTAATCAACTAACCAGTAAATGTGATAAATAAGACAAGATTTTTCAAGACGGTAATACGGATATTATTTTGATACCAGCTACAAAATCCGATGGTCATCCACGTGTACCATCCGTACCGTCAGCCGGATGGCGTCAACCACTGCGCCGCTGTCAACGGCCACTGCTCTCATCTTTGCCTGCCAGCGCCGAGGATAGGAACCCACGCACCACGTGTCTCTTGCGCTTGTCCTAACGGTTTACGACTACTACCGGATAATCAGATGTGCGTCGAAGACAGTAAGTACAATTTCATTTATTCTTACTACGTAATAACAACTTTAGGCTTTGAGGACACAATTGGTCTGCAGGCTATTGATATGCAGAGTACATTTCTAGCGATTCCGACACATACATAGTGGTACAAGAACACGTTAAATAGCGTTTGGAATGTTAAATCGCACGTCAGTGAGTTTCGACATTTAGTCGCAACCAATAATTAATCTACAGAATTAATATACATATATATATATATATATATATATATATATATATATATATATATATATATATATATATATATATAATTAAAATATATATAAATATAATAATAGTTTATAAAACCACGGTATTGTAAAAATAACTATAACAAGTCAATTAATGTGTTATTTTTATACATTTGTCATAAATTTTACAATAGCCGTGACAGTGAAAATACAGTGTGTCATCGCCAGCTTTTTCATCCCTAGATGTCATAAAAGGTGACTAGGAAAACGGAATACTATACACTACTACAAAAGAAGGAAAAGTCAAAATTTGAATGTTAGTAATTTAGAAGTGTCTCATTCGTCAACAAGTGGTATTTATAGTTTGGCGAAGAACATGTTATATTTAAAATATATATATACATATATATATATATATATATATATATATATATATATATACTTAACAGCGTGCGCAGAAAGAAATTAGTAGGGGTTGAAACTCGTACCCAGTAGTGTGATATTGTAAGTTGTTATGATGTTCACAGGTATTTTTATTGTAAGTTTTATGTTGTGTATGAGCTTGTCATAAAAAAAAAAAAAAAACATGTAATTAAAAGTATTACAATAGAATGCTCTCTGTTGGGTAATAAAAGAACATGTACATTGATCACGTATTAGTTCAAAATTTAATCATCACAAATATTCCTTTGGTCGGCATGAAATTGCATGCATGATGGGTCGTTATGTTCAAATAATAAAGAAGTCTAAAGCTTGTTCATTATACGTAGCTATGGTATACACATAGACATCGTAGACAAGGCCGTCATTTGTTTATACACGTACCTATGTATGTACGTACGTATGTATGTTAATGTACCTTACATTAGCGTAGGTATGATGGCAATGGGTTGCATGGAAAATTTGATATGCTGATAAGAAAAACTTAGGCGCTTTACACACTGACCATGTACAGCCGCATCTTGGCTCGCTGCCTCCTGCGACACTGTCAACGAAGCCAGTGTGTGAAACTCCTTACTAATTAATATTGGAAAAACAAAAACAAAACTATGACCTTAAACATTTATTTATTTATTTATTATTATTATAATGCATATATTTATTATACTGGATGGAGTTTTTAACTTTTCCATAGTATAGAACATTATCTATAGCTAGATAGATGATCCTATTAATAAAAAGGAAACTAGTAGAAGCATCTACAGTACATTACTTACATATCAGTTGAATGGAATACAATTGAATGTGACCAATAAAAATACATTACAGTAATTGAACTTCATGATTGATTGAGCGATGACCAGCAATTGGGAGGCTCGGTTTTGCTCTGAGACAATTTGTAATACCCTGAAACTTTATAAGTATCAACGCGTCATATTCTATGTACATTTAAAATTTTGATTTATTATGGAGTCTGTAATTGTCCTATTTTATTATAATAGTAATTTTGTACCATTTTTGGTCTTAGGTATACTTAACAATTTGTTATCAGATAATATAGACATAATATGTATAAAAAAAGCTCTCGTAATAATACGTATATAAAGTTAATTTGTCAATTGTTTTAATTCGACTAGCTTCCATTTTTTTAGAACTCCGTAGCTCCAAAGGAAAAAATGAAACACAGGATCACTTCGTTGTCCGTTCGTCCGTCTGCCAAGACCCTTTTTCTTAGGAACGCGTGTAGGTATCAAGTTGAAATTCATATCATATACTCAGGTCTGCAATCTCTTAAAGCAGTGAAAAAATCAAGCTTCTAAATCGACGCAATCCAAAGATACGGCCGTTTATGTTCCATATATATTTTGACATTCGCAAAGGGAATTAAATCCTGTAGGGTCCTCCCGTTGACCTATATTTGTGAAATTTGGAAAAGAATATCATGTAATACAAGTAAAGGAAAAAACCCGAAAATCGTAATTTTGTAAATTATTTTACAAGAAAAAAAAAAATTAATTGATGATTTTGTACGGAGTCCTCGTTGCGTAAGTCCGACTCACACTTGACCGGCTTTTTTAATGCAACTTAAAATAGCAAACAAGCTAACGGCTAACCTGATGGAAAGCGATATGCGATATATATATATATATATATATATATATATATATATATATATATATATATATATATATATATATATATATATATATATATATATATATATATACTGTTTCGACCATGATACCCTCTTAGCGTTTCTGAGTAAGGCGTTATGCCTCTGGTAGCCTGTACATTCACTGCCAATTTCCCACTCTTCTAACCCAAAGCCATGCCAAGCCAAAACAACTGCTTCACGGTAAAAACATGAATGGGACAGAGGTATCCAACCAAACGACTTCTATACTATTTTATTAAACTTTCAAATTTAATGCAATAAGATAATTATTATCTTATTGCATATTGTAAGTGATTTAGATTAGATAGACTTAGAAGAAGTGCTTACTATTAGTTAGTTAATACAAATTCTATTTTTTAAATTTCTATTTTGAGACTTCTGAATGCGGGATATTTTAAACATATCTTAAAAACCATGAAAATTAAAACAGTGCCATTGGCATATTGACGCGTATCTAAGAAAAAGCGCCTCGATCTCTTTCCTTAAAAAAAGAAGGCTTTTTCACCGGCAAAGTTTACAAAATTACAATTATTTTTACTGACATATTTTCATCCCGTCTTCAACGCTCACATATCTTATATATCTTGATGGTACCAAATAGATTTTTTTTTATATACCATAAAGATAGCAAACAAAATATGATACACCAGATAAGCTTACGGCATCTACCTATTCTTGATTTAGTCTCTCTTCAAAATGCATTCTATTTTTTCAAGTAATACTTGTATAATTCCTAAACGTAGAGTAAACATTTTAGTTATGAATTCTCATAGAATTACAGAATTGGCTATTATTCATTCTCTCGAATGACCGATCATAACATTTCTATTTGTGTCCTAATGACTGCTCTTCCACGTCACATTTTTTTCAGTGTTTTTTTTTTATTAGTTATAGCGCAGTTTTGTTTATCTCGCTTATACTCGAATATATTATGCAAATAATGCAATTCATTCTACTTCACGTGCATTCCACCTACATTTATTCTTTTTTCATGTCTTGCTATTCTGGTATTTTATGAACAGAACAAAATCGTTAAAATGATAATTTATTGTATTTCTATTGTCACTAATATTTTGATCCAATATTATGAGTAGGTATATAGGCTTCACTTCAATAATAGCAATTGAAGTCTTTAATAATGATGAATGATTCTTAGTTGATGAAAATTACCACTTCAGTACGTTGAGAGCATTAATATAATAAATACCTATACAGAAAACAAATAAGTTTACATCATGTATCTACTCAGGATAGTTTCAGACAGCACAGAATAAAAAAAAATGATCAAATAAAAACATCATCTGTATGTACATTTTGTTTTACAAAATACAAATTTCTATAAGAATGCAGTTCGGAGAGTTGGTCCCAGTTTAGTGACCTTATGGTGACAGCAAGGACGTCTAGCTAGAAAGGCACTTTACCATGTAAGGAGTCTCGGCGAATGATTGCCACTATTTATAGTATAGATGCCAATTTATAAGACCCTCCCCATAATATCTCTTGGCAAACCATAATCAGTACCTATACAGGTTTGTACTCATTTCCCACCAGACAAGTATCTACCTATGTTTGCGTTTATTTATGATTATAGACGTGGAAAATTAGTGTGAAACCATAAAGCCTTATAAATTAATTGTATCTAGAACCTGTTATTTCCTGATTTTATATGAATTCAGAAACTAGGAAAAGATTATTGTAATTATATAAGTAAGCCTTGCAAAAATTTAATGTTTTTTGATCAGAAGATAATTTTGGCAGAAATTAATTTTACTTAATCAATCCGTTAATTATTCCTTCCTTTATAGATAAACAGTAAAGTCCGTCATCTAAATCTTGCTTATTACTTTTTATCTACCTACAATGATAAATTGAAAAACATAGGTAAAATTACCCATTTATTACAAGAATTTAAAATGTGTACATTTATCTACTAGTAAAGTAAAAATCTGCTGTTAGCCGTGTGGTCCGCCTGCCAAGGCGTGGCAACTACAAGTAAAACACTTTAAGGGAGAGGCTTATGTTCAGCAGTGGACAGTTAAAGGCTGATGATGATGAAAGTTAAAATCTATATAGTACCTACAAAACAAAGATGCTTTCCACGGTCTGTACGTTTAGATCTTTTAAACTACGTAACAGATTTTAATGCGATTTGGATCAATAGATAGAGTGATTCAAGAGAAAAATTTATATACAATGTACAGTTTAATATTGTTTTGTCTTAATTTATAATTGTTTAAGATATCGGAAGAAAACAATCCTACTGAGAGTTTAAACAGAAAATAGTCGTATTTTTATGAAAAATAACGAAATAATGTAAGACGGAATTGTTCCTTTTTATTGGGACTACAAATTTGTCGGCGATGGCAATGTCTATATTATACGGATAGCTTTTCATAATAATTTTAATTATTTAAATAATTTAAATTATATAAAATGTGTGGAGTTTGGAAAGCTATTTAGATGAACGGACGGACGTTACCTTAAGCATTTTATCATTTCAGCCGTTAACTGTATATTGCTATTGTTGAACATAAGACTTCCCCCATAAGAGAGTTTTGCTAATAGTTGCCACGTTTGGCAAGCGGGCAGGTAACCACAGTTGGATTTTTGGAGATGTTTTAAGAGGTACGCTGCTTTAAAAGGAAGGGATGGCATATTCTATGCCGTGACACACACGGCCATAAGCATTTCATTTACATAATAATTGCTTAAAAGGAAATTTAAATACACTACAAAATTTAAATTTATATCTTATGAAATATCGTAAAATTAAAATCAATCTATCGCGCAGCAAAACTTAGGGTTCTGCATTGGCACTTTAAAGAACAACCTCACATTTAAAGAAAACATTTTTGTATTATATAATAAAACAAATAGCTGTAAACATTATATATAAAGATATCCTGTAATATAGATACTACCACCAAACTAACACCACATTAGTTTTTACACGGCACCCGTGCGAAGCCGGAGCGGGTCCCTTGTAAGAACTTATAAGCTTGTAAGAAAAATATACGACGAAATTCGTTTTATATATTTAATATATTCATAAAACATATTATAAAATATGATTATATAATATAATTATATAATATTAAACCATGACATGCTTATAAATGCAAACTTTAATAACAAATTACACAATATTAAAATAGCCCTAGATAGAAATGATTCAGTTCTCCTTTGAATAGTGCCCAATCATGAATAAATATATTTTTTACTTATAATTATCTAAATTTGACAGTCATTCGCGACGTGTACTACCAGTAACACGTCATTGATGTGCTGACGTGAAATCATACGATGTTACGAATTTTTAATCGTTATTTTATCGTCGATGATGCAGCCTTGATTTCCCTTAATTCAGTTGGAAGATACCAACGCCTACGTTCGCTTATCTTATTAAACACTTAGGTATTAATTTGATTCAGTGGTTGTTCGGTATCATATCTAAACATATCGTAAGTAGGTAGAAAGAAGTACCTATTTATGTTTAATTTTTATCGGAAGAAAACATATCGTCTTAAAACAGTTTTATCAGTTTTTTTTTGCAATATGTTTATCATACGGAAGTTAGGTATTTTCCGCTAATCATGTCTCTTGTTTATTTATATTATGCAGGTATTATGTAGAATTGACACAATTCAGCTCTTCTATTATAGGAATTACTCAGAGAGGTATAAGTATTTTTTTTTGTACTTAAGGGTTTACCTATTGTAATGACTTTATTGATTTAATGTCAGGGATACTAATAAATTTTGAATCGATATCGAAACATTACAGCGCTTACTGATCAAGGCATGCAGTTGGCGAATATGGCGAGGTGACGTCACAACATCACGCCACCTTTTGTTAGTCAATTTATGAGCGATCCGGCACGCCGCTAGTTCGTAATGACAATAAACTTTACTGCTTACCAAGGCGTGTCAATGACAGTAAAATTTATAGTTGTAACAATATAAGGAAATAAAAATCAAATGTTTTGTAGTTGAGACACAAGTATCATTTGATATATAAAAAAAAGTAAAATCACAATGATATGAATATAGTGATAATATTAGATTTCATTTTAATTAAATCATTATAATAACGAATTTAATTGTTTGTTTACCTTATCCGAGGTATTAATCAGCGCTTATTTGGATAAGGTAAAGAAACAATGAAATACCTAGTTAATCGATATAAAACAGAGCGATGTTAAAAAAATCCATGTTCTAAATGGAAACGGCGAGCCGGATCGCGTTCAGTTAAAGTGACAGTACGAAGCCGTAGTGGAACGTCATTGGCGCACGAATGTTTCGTTTTCGACCTGCCCCTACTACACCTCACCTCATTTCGTCCCTTGTCCTCGCACGAGTCGTATGTGCGACAGAGTTCGCGGCATTCCACCAGACACATTCCAAATTTAAACGACTACAATTTATACAACAACAAACAAGGTTAACTTATACGGAATAACTTCTTAAGGATAATTTATAATAACATCTACAGATGCAATAAAACAAGATGTGGACGTGCAAAAACCGCTTACTAGTACTAAAGCAACAATAATTAACGAAGAAAAACCTGTAACCAGTAAGTATTAAGTGCTGTTAAGTTTTTGTTGATCCTTATCCATTTCCTAATCCACCTTTTGCTTGTAACCATTCAATTTTGCGGAGTTTGAGATTATAAGTTGGACGTTAAAGATAGAAAGTGAATGTCATATTCTAAGACCTTGTTTTAATATAACTTACTGTTAATACACATTATTATTTTTATTTCATATTATACTAAAATATTACTACATACCATCCAAACACCGCATAATTTAATCAGATTGCGTTATGAAGGAGTATCTATTTGTTATCATCGCATATGATAAGGGCATATCATATAAAATTGGCGTTGGGTACATTAAACAAACATTAACACGCATCATATCGATCGACTAACTTTAAATTCATTGTGAATGTTCAAAATATATCTGTGTGTCTTCAAATTGGGATTCGTTGACTGATTTACAGGGCATGCCAAACAACTAGTTTACAGTCAGATGAATTATTTTGAATGTGAATCATTCAAGCGGTATTTCTATACATATGGTGGATTTAAAAGAAGAAAGGCTAATAGGCCTTCTCGCCAAAGTTGCACGTGCAGTTATTGAAACTGAGGACACTACTGAGAATCAAGAAAATCCAAAGTCTGTATCGTCGGTCAAGACAGCTAAGCCAATGATGGTTTATTGGGAAAAAGATAAGGAAGCTTTGGAAAATAGAAATCAAGAGTACATTGATCTGTATCAGAAGGGAATCGCCCTGGAAAGAATACCGGATACTACTGGATCACCCGTCAAAGAATCTCGTTACAATTTTGACAAAATCAGTCTTGCGTATTTGCCAGACGCACTCAGAAATTTAAATGAGGGTAATGTATTTTTGTTTTAGTATTTTGTTAAAAGTAAACGTTTCCTTGTAAAAGTATGAGAAGACACACAGATTCAACCTGAACTGGGTGCATGTTGTGTATATCGTATGTCAATTTTTGTGGATGTTAACTAACACTCGTATAATTTGTAACAAAATTATTGAAAACTTAATTCGCTTTTTCCTCGAAATAAATTTAATGAATAATTAGTTTTATGTTGATTAAAACTACAAAATTTTATAAAACAATCTAGATTTTATCTGTATTTTCTAGATAAATGGTTAATATTAATTCTTTCCATCTAAAAATATATCGTAAATAATATAGATTGTAAATATCTTTAACCTTACATACTTCAACGCGAAAATTTGATAACTCTATGACACTTTATTAGTCAATTATATATGAAAGATGAAGTAATTAGAATAAATGAATCTTAATTATGGAGAAATTTTTATCTTGGTAATGTGTACTCATGTAAATCATTTTACCTACAATCGAAGTCTATGATGTAAACAAGTCGCGAGTGTTCGCCAATTGTTTTTTTTTTTATTTTTCAATTTAATTTACATTTTGTTAATTTTATACATATACTTAAAGTATATTAAACAGTTGAAAAAAGAACTTCGTAAAAATAATTAATTGTTTTGGATGCTATGGAAAGAGATACATTATATATCTCCAGATTATTAGGAGGGAAAACTTAATCTATAATATTGTCGATTTAATCTGCTATAATAATGATTTGCAGCGTGTTCTAAATGAAATATTAAAATATAGGTTAAGATAAACCCGTAGAGTTGGCACGACTCATTGACAATCTGTAAATAGACCAACCGGTGCAGTCTAGTTATAACGTCTACACTACATGAGCTTTATTATGTTACATCGATAAGTTTATAATTCATTGTAAAAATCTCATATATTATATATGTCGCAAAAAATGTCTTAAACGTGGACTTATATAATATGTATTTACTTCTTTACGTCCGTATTGTAAGCGTAATTACGTCACTGCTTCCAACTAATGTCAGTGCTTTTGTAGTCTTTGTATTTAATATGATATCCTATTTTTGAATCCCATATCTTTTGTACATAAATAAATTTTAACTGTACCTATATATATTTTAACAATTGAGGTGGAGGTAATGTGGATTGTTAATAACATTAATTTTATATATGATTGTTCATTTTTCTCTGCCGCACAATATTCCTCGCCTTTTTATGATTTTTTTAAGTGAAACTAATTTGTCTAATTAAATATCACATTGTTAATTTTCGACATGTGTTTGTTTAATATTGATTATCAATTGAGAAAACATTTGACTAACGTGCTGCAGAATACTAAATTGTAAATAAGACATGTATCTTTATATTTTATTTTCAATTCATTATAGGCATCCCAGACACACCAAAGACTAGCACTGGAATCTCGAACAACGGGCGTGACGCGGGTGTTATAGCCGGCATCGTGGTGGGAGTCATCTCTGGAATTATTATATTGGCAGCAGTGGTAAGTAACACCCTCGTGTTAATAAAAAAAATTGCACTATTCTTGATTTAAGGTTCATCAGTACACGTTAATTAGGAACAAGGGTTTTATTTCTGATAAAAATATCATAATAATATTTCCGAAAATTATTTACTTAGGTAATTCATCATAAAAATTGTCGTCATAGTTAAATTGTTAGTTGTATCAACATAATGAAAAAAATATTTACATTTATTATTCATTTTCATTTTAAGAGCTCCATATTTAATAGTGTAAACAACCATAATAATACATACAAATAAATAAATAAACAATACTAACCATACATAATCAAAACAAATGTGGAAAAATGGAAGTGGAACAAATTGAATTAAGTAATAATAAAATACATACAATATGTAAAGATACTCAGATTTTTGTTTAAATAGTTGAACGGATTTGAATTAAATTTGATACATAGATGGAAGATTTGTTTTAAATTTTACATATTCACGACTTTATTATTATAAAAATAATAAAGTCGTGATTTCTGGACTTACAATTTGCACAGAAAATGTTTAATATGAAAATATTTGTCTTTTGTGTATTGGTAAGTTATGTATGTTACTGTAAGGTATTGTAAAACTATTGTAAATACAGATGTTCCTAAATATTTACATAATTTCGATCATACTTGTAGCTAAACGTAGTATCTTAGATTGTTTTTAAGCAGTCTTTTAATTTAAATTGAACAAAGTAGCTGGCAATAATCCAGCCCCATCCCCCCCCCCCCCCCTCCCCCGGCAGCTTTCAATTACATCGATTAATTAACAATAACAATATAAAAGAAATACGAAGCATCATGAGTAATTTGCTATTATCTTACCAGTGCTGACTAAAAAAAACCAATAGCCTAATGTATCACACCGCGTCACTTGTTACCAAACAAAACAGCACTTATTATTATGAGAACTAAATAACCGACATTCCTACTTTTTTTATGTAAATACTCTTTTAAAAATGTTATTATAATAAACAAATAACGTCCAGTCTAATACAAACAAATATACTCAAGAATACAAAAATTTGTACCTAACCCGTAACCATCGGTGAACGTGATTGCTTTCTAAAAATGTCGTTGTAAATGACGCAGGTATAGCAAAAAAATAATTCACTATCATTATGAAATTTAAGAGCGAAATGAAGACATGTATGGAAACAAAACCTAGACATTAATATAATAAAAAATGTAGTTATATGTTAAATAATAAATATAACGATAGTTATATGAATAAATTTTTTTAGCCTTTATTTTCGATAAAGCTTATCTAGGTCCGTAAAAAATAAATAAAAAACACTGAACAATAGTTATTTAATTACTATGGGATTAATTTTGATAGAAATTTTAAGACTGCAAAAAAATCAAAATCTGATTTTTAGCGAAGATATTGCGTAAAATAGTTTGTTTTTAAAATAGCTTAAATGTTAATTATATTAGTTTCCTTCAATCGATATAAATTTTTAAAACACACTTGTTTAATTTTAATATCATAATTTAATAATAATAAATCAACGGCAAAGCCCCATTTATTAAATTTGATAAGATACAAAAGTACACTACCAAAAAAGGAGGGTAATCCAAAATTACTCTCCTTTTTAATAGTCGTAATAAAGTATTACGATAAATTAATAGCAAGCACAATAAAATTTCCACCGTGTAGGTATGTAACATATCCAATCTAAATACTTAAATATTGTAAATTGATCTCGAGTATGAGTGTTCGTGTCTGCGGCATCAAATTGTTTTTGTTGTCTGATTTGTCACCGTCTAATCTAACTGATGGTAGAATTTTGTATGACTCACCTAGGTAGGTGTCACCTTATTACACTGCGTTTTTACCAAATATAATACGATGTTTAACAACATTATTAATGTGTATTATATTAGGTTTAAAACCATTAACGCGTACCGTGTTCACTAACACAAAGAGGCGTGACACCGTACCGGCCGTCTGAGATTTTGTGTATGAGATTTCATACTATTGACCCAACTAAAAAAAAAATAACATTCTAATTCTTCTAATTACTTATGGACATTACAGAACATGTGCACTATGCCTGCTGCCTGTGTCACCCATCATATTTTTCCACTTTGAACACTAAGGTATATTATAAAAGTTGCCACAAATTTCATTACAATTTCAAATATTTCTCAAGAATGCATACTTTACCATTTCACGGCAGAAATAAGTAAAATGCCAAGGCGGTGACTTATTTATTCTATTTAGATATGTACTACTAGTTTAAATACTTTGTACTACGTAGACTGGTTTAGTTATACATAAATAATTATCAATATTGATCGAGACGATAATAATTCGCTCATATGATAAGATAAAGAATAAACGATTATAACATTGTATCTAGTCGGTTATAAATATATGTTAAAGACAATAAAGAGTACAAGATAATTTATAAACAGTATATAAATATCACATGCGAGAAAATTCTCGGAGATTCGTTTACACAAATTAGTTCAATAAAATTCACACCCTATAATTACTTCGAATATAAATACTGGAAATGCCTTCATAATCTATCAAGTTTAAAACATATTTAGTTTTATATAATTTCTCAATTATAATTTAAACTTATATATATAAGAACAGCGAACTAAAACTGAAAAAATATCTACACCTAGTATGTATTTTATGCTTTGGATAAAAAACTAGAAAAATGTTTTTAATTATAAATATTTTTATTTTATATGTAGTTTTTAATTTGCTACAAGTACGTTTATATAGTAGGTAAAGAAATAATAGAATTTCTTTTTATCATATGTTTGTGGGTCACCTGGTACAAATCCATTGAAAACGATAAGACCGTCTACATTTTGCAGCCTTATCGATGTTTTTTCTTTTGTCCATGTTTTGGTAATTAATTAATACTATTGTTTATACTATACAGTAAGAATACAAATAAATAGATATAATAAAATAGCTATAGGCTTCATATTTACTTATAATTGCATAATATTCTTTATCTTCTCTGATGCGATATTATGATTATATACCTAATTCTGATTGTACATTACAATATATAACGCGACCTTCGAACATCATTAGTTTTCTCGGCTGTAACATCAATAGAGGAACTGATTCAGTCAATGCTTTAATTACGCTCTTGCATCAGAACAAGCCCCTTTAATTGGCACCAATTGAGTAACATTGTGTATCCGAATGTTGCTTACGGGTGGAAGTTTCAAATTCTTCCTTTCTTTTTTCTAGATTGCAGTTGTTATGTACCGACATTATGTGCATCGCAACGTCACTTCAATGAACTTCGACAATCCTGTATATCGCAAGACCACAGAGGACCACTTCGCACTAGAGAAAAATGGCTACGCACCGGGCAGCAAATTGTATCCCAGTACTGTGGGAGAAGAGGTGAGAGCGCTAACAGCCATGGAGTGTACACTCAATATACAGAATAGTCTTAGATAAGTCGTGTAAACCTACACTGCCCTCCAAAATGGAGCCAATTACTAATAAGTGGGTGTTTTTGTCTTCAACCCAACTCAAATATTAATTTTATATATTTTATTGTAAACTACAAATATAAAAAGATGTTTATTTTCGAAACGTCACTTACGTCTTAGGTACAATGAAATAAGACCCCAAAACTAATATGGCCAAATTATAGTATTGTAAATAACAAGGTTAAACCTAGGGTTATTTTATTAAAGTAAAATTAAGGTCTGCCTAAGACATTTTAAACTTGATGTACTTAGAGTTATATTTACTAGGCATTGTTTTAAGGATTTTATAGAAAATATTTTCGTTTAGATATAAGATTGTGGCAATTTAAACGTGCCAACATTTTTACCGCATCAGTATTAAAGAATAGTTGCCAAATTATTGGTTATAAATGGTAGGTGTTAATGCTGTAAATAGTCACTTTGACATTAGTATTATTATAATGATTTTATATTCTGCCTACTGCTTAATCATAGACATTACACAAAAAGTTTTACTGCCGATATATTTATTTTTCATGCGTAAACATGCGAGGGCTATTAATCAATCGGTAAGTTTCTAGAAAGTAGATGAAAGAAGCCTTTTAGTGCTGTAATTTTTGTGTAGAAAAAATATTTTGCGCTATTTTTCGTATATCTGCATTAAGCTTATATACGCGAAATTGGATGTTTTATTTCGATGGGTTGTAAAATGTAATTTTTTTTTCTTTCCAGGCCCAAGAACCTCTTAACACATCCGGTACAAATGACTTTGTATAGTGTACAAGCCGGCAGCAAGTACATTAGTGTGTCATTAAATGTGAAAAGAAAGAGAAGGACATGTGATACTTAAAATAGTTGAAAAGTGAATGGGATTTAAGCTAACATTTTATAGTAAACTTTAATAAGTTAGTGTAGTGCAGTGGAAAGTGTAAAAGCTTTGAACAAAGTTCTGTTTATCGACTTGCCTCGCTCCATGCGGATCTCAAAATTGCGGAGTTTTTTTTTATATTAATCACCGCAATAATGTTTTGTTAACATTTCAACTGAGATCTTTGTAAATGCTTTGGTATTGTATCACATATAAAATAGGAGGAATGTTTTTTTTATTATTTTCTCTTTAAACTGTGACCAGTTAGAAATTCGAATATTGCTTTTGAGGAAATGCCTGGTGCATATAATTATTTATATTTTTTTTTATATATATTTTTTAGTTATTATTTAGGTGTTTTACACAACAGTTATGTGGCAACATAATTAACATTGGAAATAAAGTTCATATTTTAAATATTGAGATGTACTTATTAGTAAATCTACATTGATTTTTTTAAATAATACAATTTTGTAGTGATATATTGATATATTAAATATACCTAACGCAATTTTGCCACTTTTAATTTGAACGTTAATTCGTATAGTTTTATTATTTATTGAGGCTGTTTGGAAACAAATTGTATTATTCATAAAAACGTAAAACGTTTTATTTAATATTTATTGAAATTCGTAATTATGGTCTGAAAGACACGGACCTTGTGGCGTAGATATATGAAATCTATTAAACGAAAACTTTAAATTGTAAAATGTTTAACGTTTTTGTGAATAAGGGGAGTAATGAATAAACTCGTCTTCAAAGGTAATATGTGTGCCAATATGTACAATAAATTATGAACTAGTGAAAATTTATAAAAATATCGCCAATTATGTATAATAAAATAAGTTTCGTTTAAATTTCATAGATCAATGCTCATTGTTTGTTGATTTGTATTTATTTGAATTATATGAACTTGTTATACATTAGTACAGTTTAATATTTATATTTTACGTAAAGGTTGTGTTTAACCGTACTACATAATGTATTTTTATTAGTAATTAATTAAAAATCGCCTAGTATTTGGAACATGACTTTGTCGAGCAAAATCCTGCCAAATCCTCTAAATTATTATCCTATTCGTAATGTAATTGAATTACATTAAATAATCACTTATGCACATTTCATACAATATGCTAGCTCAATAAGTGTCGTCACTAAAATTATTGTGTAAATATTGTCAGTAAAATATATGTAAAATGTGTTAATTCTGTACTTTGATTTTTTACTTACCTTCGTATTTATTAAGTAGAGACATGAGCTGAAACTCGCTTTAAGCAATCATTCTAGTAAATTATTAATTACTATTTAAATATTTTACGTCTTTAGTCATATAAAAGAAAAACGGTAATTTGAGCTTTTATTATAAAATCGTTTTCTGTATGAACGAGATACATTTATGAAAATATTACTGAATAATTAAAATTATTCAATAATATTCTTTTATTGTATATTTAATAATATTGTTTATGTTAGATTTCCATTCAAAGAAATTCGAACGTGTGAATTGAAATGAAATATTTTTATCAATTAATACACGTTAAAAAATGTTATGATTTTATGTATTATATAATTTTTTATATAAAAATGAAATAACACTCGCTAATCTCAAATCGACCTAAACTGAGCAGGATTTTCATATATATACATATAGAAAGGTAAGTACCAATCTAGCTGCAGATAATCATTGGAAACATCAAGTAATCGCTACATTGTATGATGATCACACCTCGTCATACGTAATAGACGGAAACGTTAATAAATCAAATAAACCTCGTTACGCCTCGACGACCGAGGTCATAATATTGTTTGAATGGAATATTACACAGACAAGAAAACTGTACCTCTTAAGCCTGTTGTATACTAAGTAACTGTAAACGTGTAGTATTTTTCCAATTAGGAGACGCTTGCTTAGAAATTTTTAAATAACTAGAGAATTATTGGAATATGATATTAATATATTAATAATATTTCACAGTATTTCTGTTGGAAAACTTGGGAATTTCAATAATGGAAACATATAATAACAGTAGATCCCATAAATCATTTTTTTTTATTGATACAGAAATGCAAAAGTATACATTACAGTGAGTATCCGTACATACGCACTAGTTAACAAAATTAAAAGCTTTTACAAGTACTAGATATAAATTAAAAATAGTAATAAAAAAACTAATTACTTAGTATATTATTTTTATTTATACTTCTTGCTGACAATACTTAAAAAAAAGATAATGTAACTAAAAAGTATCCTTATCGCTACGATATATTTTATAGTAAGCAATAATAAAATTAATAAGTGGCAATTAATTTATAACCATCATTAATTATGCCTTATTATTATATGATGGAACAATATCATTAAACTAGGATTTTATAACGTAAAGAAAATCAGGGTCATTTCCTTTAGATAGCTGTTATGCTTTCAGACCCGGTAAATGCAATTTTGCAACAAACTGGGTTAATTTTTTTATTATGGGGATATTATTGTTTTAAAACCGGCTGAACGGTTTCGGAAATAATCATCGGAGACGATCATTCGAACAATACGACAGTCATTTCATATATTAAAATTTTAAAACATTAAATAAATATATAAAATAATAAATACAATATTTAGGATTATCCTTACTGATATTATAAATATGAAAATGAGTTTGTTACTTTATAGCCCCTAACGGCTTAATCAAACACTTTAAAATTTAGTATATGTACTATATGGAATGGAGAAGGGTAGAGCCTACTTTTACTGTAACAGTCAGTATCAGTCGCAAGTAAAAAGCTAATAAAACAAGTTATACTAGGTATATACATTAAAAATACTTACAACGATAGTCAAGACCTATTCATAGATTTTATCTTACAACTGCCATATATTATTATGTTATAATACATATAACATACGCAATCCGCTCCAACCCCGCTGCCAATCATCAGCAGTTATTTAAATGGTATAATATATAGGTTCAACGAAATTCGCCATTATGTTTTAGATTTCATTTCTATTAAATGTAAAAAAAGTCTTGTTATAAACATCGCTTTATACTATTAATATATATATATATATATATATATATATATATATATATATATATATATATATATATATATATATATATATATATATATTAGTAATAATAATTAAAGTTTCAAATAACTATTAACTCTATATTATGTACAAAGTATACCTATTACATTACGGTTCTCCACCGTGCGTTTTTCAAGGCACTTTCTCCCACGCACAACCACTCTTTGGAATCAACTTCCAGCAGCAGTATTTCCGAACTGATACGACAACATAACCTTCAAGAAAGGAGCATATTCCCTTTTAAGAGGCCGGCAGCACACCTGCAATGCCGTTGGTGTTGTGGGTGACCATGGGCGGCGGTAATCATTTACCATCAGGTGAGCCGCATGCTCGTTTGCCCCGTGTTGTAAAAAAAAAGTATATCATATAATACAAAAATAGAGAATGTGCGTATATATACATACTGAAAAGTACTTTTCACCTTACCCACTTTCATTGTCATGAAAGATTGCGATTTTCAGTTTCTTCAAATTTGGGAATAGAAGTCCGAAGGTGACAAATCAGTCGAATAGGGGAGATGATTTTTTTTTACTTTCTACATTTTAACGAAAACATGCGCGTCGTTTATTGCAAAAGTTCTTGTAAATAAACTATTTGAGAGAACAAGTTTAAACTTGTCATACGAACTAATGACGAGCACCTAGGCAAGAAAAATAAATTTTTGCTGATTAGAACGCCGGTCTGTCAGACGGATACCTTTCCAGATAATTATCTAAATCATCTCAAGTATTAGTATTTAAATATCAATATTGTGATGTTTATATTCGGTATAGATTAGACAAGACATAATCCTTACCCGTAATCTAGACCCACGTATTATTCTAAATCTTACATTTCAAGATTAATTCTATGTCTGGTTACGTTCACACATTTCTTTAATCTAGAACACTTTTGCGTACTCTTAATTTGGAATCTTTTAGGAGTATTACTAATTTATTCTATGCAACTTCGACATGGTTCCATCAACCTACTTGTTTAGTAATATTCCTCCTATAAACTTACATAGACATCAACCATATATCCTCTACATTTCAGAAACACAGCAACACAATGTCGTTATTTCAACATATTATTTAAAAGTGCTCTATACTTTCTGCCTGCCGGAAATGGTAAGATGGAGTTTATAGTAAAAGAGAATGTAGATTAACATTGTATTACATGTGGTATTATAAATATTAAAAGAAATTATATTGAGGAACTCTTCATCATTCATTTAAGTCACCTTAACTAGTGTCCGAAGTCAGTGAGAGATCATGAGTAAGAGCTGAAACATTTTATTCAAATTTTTACCATTATAGATCTGTACGAATATTAATAAGCAAATAACTCTGAGGAGTATTGCTTTACAGCATTCATAAAAATGCATTAAATGTTGGCATGTTAAATGTTAGGTTCATTATAAAGGCAACATCAGTGGATAAACGTATCTGCAATTCCATTAGATTACAGTTGTGACCATTTCAGTCACAATTGTAAGATATTAATATAAAATTACAAAGGAACAACTATATAACAAAATACTGTTTAGGTACAAAACAAACTACATACTATTATTTTAAATACACAATCGGGACATACCGCGATGAAAAAACCTTTGCAGGTAAATAGTATCTACGTCTCTGCTTCTTTATTGCCGACATTTCAAAGACGAAACGCATTAAGTCCCGATTGTGTGTTTAAAATATGTGTAAACAACGCAAAAGTTTATACTTAACTAAACTACAAACTATTATCACTTTTAACTACATTATCAATGTCGTCATCACTCACTCGCCTTTTCTTGTTTTTCTCCTTTTTCTTACTTGTCTTGACATCTTGTATTGTAGGTATTGGTACATCTTTTTTATTTTGCTTATAAAAGTCATATTGTTTGATTATGTGCTTTTTAAATACATCGAATGTTCTTGAAGCTATATGAAGACGAGCGTGGTGGAAGAACTCGTCGAAATGATGGAGATTGTGTCTGAAATGTTATGAGAAGGACTATATAATTGTAGAGATAGTAGATTATTCCTTCAATAATGTGTAAGACAGCAGGTTAAAACCCATCTGAAATAAAACCGAATGCTTGCAACGCTCACAACATAGTCATTCATGATTAAGAGTCATGGCTGGTTCCAAAATCTGTTAAGCGTTCTCTACAAAAATAGACAAATCGATCCGAATATTTTTTATATATATAATATAATTAATATTTTGTTTCACAAAAAAGACCACTTGTGGCAAAACCAGTTATTTTGATTTAAAAAGTAAACTATAAATCGATTTTGATTAAATTTTTAACTCATAAAGTTATGAGGAAATAAACATAAAAAATATAACTGTATTGAGAACCTGCTTCGTTTTGAAGTTTCTTCAAAATATACTATGTACTTACAAAACTTTAAAAAATAAAAATTTTGTTTAACCAGCTTCTAAATTAAGTTTAGTCCCAAAGTATAAATTTAATATTAAATTGGATAAATAGAACTTAGAATAACATCTGTATAAATAAAAATGAACCAATAAATTTATTGCTAAAACTCGAAAATACCTGGAACAATTCTGCTATTTTTTTTTTTCAAATATCAAAGTCAAAGGAGCGTTCTTATGAAGAGAAAAATTGGAATTAATATTTTTGAGAAGATAAAAATAAAATATATGTATGGATATGGGAAGTCTGTAAAGGAAAACTGGTGTTTTGTTGTCTTTGTCTATCATAAGAAACAAGTTATCCAGCTTTTAATAAAAACAATACTTACATGCTAAGTAACACTGAAGCCAACATCTCTCGAGTATTCAAAAGGTGTCGAATGTATGCTCTTGTATGTTTCTTGCACGCTAAGCATTCACAACTGGCTAAGACAGGTTGAAAGTCATCCTTGTAACTGGAATTTTATAAGGAAATGTATAAATTAAATTGTAACAAAAACAATTGTTTGGTTTTTAGTTTTTTTTTTCTTTACATGAATTTGCACTTAGTTTAAAAATGACAAATAAACTGAAGGCCTACCTGATGGGGCGTGAACTTATTGCTATAGATATAAATAACACTTTGGACATTACAAAATATACCTACTGTAACACTCTATGGTAAGTCTTCATAAATTGCCATTCCTGAGGATTAACGTGTCATGCGTATGTCCTCTGTAACTTTACAATTGCTTGATGGAAGAAAGTTTACTAAGTCTACTTAAATGCGTAAAAACTTTCTGCTTTTCTGGATGATAATTTATTAGATAAGTATGTTGATACTCAAAGTACGGCTTTCAATTCTTTTTCTGTTGACTCAGAACAGCTATTTTATTATCTATTATATTCAGCAACGAAATATACTATTTTACAGTAACACTTGAGTGCTGACCCCGTACGGACAAACGCAGCGTAGGGTGAGCCCCACTAGATAGAGTGACGATCTTAAATGTATTGCAGAGTCAGTGTCAGTCAGATTATAAATGAACATAGCTGATTTTTTTTTGTCGTCACTTGTTAACACCTAGTATTATTAAGGTAGTGGTGTGTGAATAGTGGTAATAGTAGATACAGGGAAAGGACTTTGTTTTCATTATTGTCATCGATTACTAATTAGAAAAACTATTAATTAAAATACTCGTATTATTAAAATTTTACAGACGATATTTATTAGAGACATATTTTTTAATTTTTTGACGGGATCGCAGGACCACTTAAATTTTTGGCTTATTCATGGGTCGCGACATTAAAGTGGTTGAGAAACAATGCATGCCATACAATATTTATTCAATTTCATTGTGATTGGTTCAGCTGTAAAGGCCCTAAAAGATAACAAACAAAAAACTCACTTTCACATTTATAATATTATGTAAGGATAATAATATGTAGACTCACCTTTCATCATTAAGATTTAGAATACATAGTTCTTTATTATCTTGATTTACATCTAACTGTAATGCTAATGCATGGCCAGCATTTGTCAATTTCAGTGGATAAGAACCATCAAACAAATCCCATCCATGTTCTATGGCAGTAACAACTACGGCTGGATTCCAACAGCCTTCTATAATGCATAAAAAATCTTTTGGTAGGGCATCCTAAAAGAGTGTAATAGAATAAATTAATAACTATTCCCAAGTAAATTCATTCTATCAGCTAGGTGTTCTTGTTGTCTATCTTTACATAATAATATACAAAATAAGAAGTCCAAAATGGCTATTTTTAGCTATTCATAATAAGTTATATAAATACTATTACTTTTGTTGATATTTTATATTAAATTGCAATATTTAATAAAAATTGTTACTAAATTAACTCCTATTAAGCAGCTAGTTTAGCAAATTTTTTAAACACGCAATTATCCTAGCGCAATAAAAATACTCAAAACTAGTTATAGAAATTGTCTGATTTCAGAAATGATATGCAATCAATAAAAAAGCTTTCTGAAAATACTAATTGGAACAGGAGTTTCGCTTCCTTTAGTATTATTATTATAGACAGGCGTGACAGATGTATGTATGTATTATTATTGTCATGAGATTTCAGTTTAATTTTTAGAAGTGAAGTGAAGTGAATAGCACAGTAGATTTGGTATAATAATATTTTTTCCATGTCTAGTCTTTTATTTATTGAAAATACAAGCAAAGAACAAAAACTTGACACATAATTCATAAATAACTACTACAATAGGATTTGTATTTGCTAGCATTTTCTTTCTATACAGTAAATATATTTTCACGAAGGAAAAGTCTAATTCTAACGCAAACAAAGTTATAGGACTTCATTCACCCAATTTTTAATTGGGTAACACACATGGACTATATATTACTGATATGATCATTATTTAAAATTACAATCATATTGTTAACTGCACTTGTAAGTGTAGGTTACACTATGTACTGAAAAGAGCAGATAATGATATTTAAAAAATAGTGAGAGATTTCTGGAAGAATACATACAGTGCCAACTTCAAATAAATGAGAAAAGGCAAGGATATGGTGAATTATACTGAAAAATATATTGGCCTGTATAAATTTTATTAACTATCTATTATGTAGAGTATGTAGTTACTTACACCAACTCTTTTGAATATTGCCTCCAACTTTTCTAAGGGCACAGTTAAAGATTCTTCAGATCCATCTGTAATACCTTCAAGGGTCACACCACTTAGATTTTCTTTGTATGTTAGTATATTTTGAATAGACTGTTCACATTTTCTTTCTTCACCTACTCCCACTATTACACCTAAAAAAACGCGACTTAATTGTTATTAATGTTGATTACTTATTCAGTATTTACATTAATATTTAATGGGTTTGTTTTTTGATCAAAAAAAAAATGGCAATTCTATTTTTATAATGCTTATAATGACAACCAATCTAATAGCTCGCCTTATCAAGTGATTATCTATAAATATAAAAAATGTCATGAACATCAGATACACATGATGCCCATGGTACCCCTCATGCATTCCTTTTTTATTAAATTCATATACTACATAGTTAGTATCTAGTTTGAGGGGCTTAATTATTTGTACCATTGTAATTGTACCATCTTTATCATTTTGTTTCTATTTCATATAATTTGGATTTGGCATTTATAGTTCTCTTCCATTAATCTCTAGTTACAACTGAACTATACCACCAATATAAAGTATTTATACAAACCAATGAGAGAACTGTCTTGCAAACATGTTGAATTTTTGTGTCGTGTCACACACATATTCAACATATTACTTGTTCTATCCAATGCCTTCGAGATCCTCTTGGAACCCTCATCAAGTGATGTGTGGCCATCTGCAATCGCCAAAATTATATCTGGTTTGAATACTTCCATCAAATCCATATATCTGGAAAATTTAATTTTTTTCCTTATGCCTTTACAATTTTAATCAGTTTTGTTTAAATTCAAATGATTCTATAAGATAAGCACATGGCTGGGAGATTTTTACAAATTAAGTTGGTTCATAATTTATCAACAATGTTTACAGACAAAATAACTTTTAGTAAAAAGAATTTTTTTTATAGATTATTATAAAGAAGAAACCTCAGAAAATTGTCATTTGTATTTTTAACAATATAATATTAGAAATATACAAACATTTATTGTGCTACAAATCAAACAAATGTACAATATCATTAAAAACCTACTCTACAAGATAACCTTGTGTTATGTGAAACTGGATAACAAATATTTAGAGCACAATATTATCAATTCAGTCATAACATTTAGTCTTGATTTATAACAGATTTATACCACAAGGTTCACTGCGTCAGCTTTTAGTATTATGAATTATTATAATCATTTTGTATGAGCATGCTAAAATAAAAAAAAAATATATATTGGTGATTGTCGAACTCTACACATACAAAGTCTCAATAGGATTATAGATGTAGAATATTGACGATCACACTATGACATATTAATATTAAATCTATGTTTAAACAGATTGAATTAAATGTATTTATTGGAACCATAAAAAATTACAAAAGTAGGGTAGTGTATAATAACAGCCACATTAGTTAAAATTAACTGTGTTGTGGCTGTCAACACCCACCTCCTCAAGGCAGAGACGCTAGCGTTCCAGTAGAATAAATAAAACTGTTAATTAAACAACGAAAAAGCATGTACATGTAGCACATATATATGTACCTAACATACATATAAACATTTAGACATTTAGTTTTACATAATATTAAAAAGTCCAGTACAGAAACAAAATGTAACCATACCTATTAGCAGAAATCATTTTCTTTCCATTTTTAGTCCAAAGAGGAACCGAATCTGATTCAAAATGTCCAGAAGGTGTAATTTCTGATGCTCCATGTAGTGTGACACAGGTTAAATGGTTTTGAAGTCCTGCAAATTTCGCTACACCCTCACCCTGTGCTTTCAATCCTGTTTCTAACTGGTAGGATTTTGACAGTGGAACCCACAGCAATTTTGGGTTAGAGAACACTTTACTCAAAACCTCATTTGTTAGGTGAACTACACTGCCACTCTGAAAAATAATTTATTAAAAATTAAAAGATCTCAATATAAACTTAGTCTCACTAAATTAGTATAGATCATAACCTCCAATAGGTTATAACTTATAGTATTAATATTATTTATACCTCTAGCATTATGTTTATTTTTTTTCCCTTGATTTTTTACTAATTATATTATAATTAGTATTATTTACTTAAACAATAATTTAATTTTTAAAATCATTGAACAATGACAGAAGAAAAATTACTAGGTTTAATTTCTTGTTAGCAATGGAAAATAAATGTGATGTACTTAAACAGGTTTTAGATACTTGTTTTTTATTGGATATGGATAATGAATGGTAATCCTGCCTACACTATTGGTATACATGGCGGGTACCAGTGAGGAATGATAAGTGAAGACGAAGCAAGTCAGTCAGCTTATCGTGACATTGAATCAATTTACCAATGAATCAATTACGATGGTTTCCAGAGGAAACCGTGAGGAGGTCGACCTGATATTGCTAGTAATAGGGTTGTTAATCCCCATTACTAAGAATTCCTTTTCCCCAAGGTCTTAGGTACCTATTCGATTAACTAAATGAATTCTGAATAAAAATTATTCATAAATAATTAATGTCAAAAGGTTACTGGGCGTTTAACCATTTGATCAGTGGCTAACCTTAAGTAATTCTTTAAAAAAATATATATACTAACTTGAGTAAACAAAGCACTAGCAGGAGTTTCTATTACTGCGGTCGAGATTTTGACAAATCCTTTAAGACTGCCTATACGTTCACCGCCGCTGCCTGCTTGATTTATTATAAATCGCATTATTATGGTATAGACACTAACAAAATTTAAATAAGTAATATAATATCCAATTATCGGTGATATACAAAATCAAAATGTTAGAAACGAAGACGGACCACGCGTGAAACATGCGCGAACTTTGTTATTATTGAGACATCATGATAGGTTGACATTGACAGTTGACAGCTTGAAGAAACATAAAAGCAAAAACAAGTGACAACTGACAACAGAAAATTAACTGTCTCAATCCGAAATCTTTGATCTTTATAGATTAAAATAAATTGTTGTCAATATATTGTAAGGGTAGGGGAGAATGATTGTTAGTAATGTGGGTTAACAGTCCCATTGCTAGCAATATGCTCCATAAGGTCAAGTTCCACATGATCCCCTCAGGAAACCATCGTGCTGAATACCTAGTGTATTCATCACGGTGGGTTAACTAACCTGTCTTTTCATTTTCACCTATCATCCCTCACTAGTGCTCCACCAGCATATACTGTTAGCGCATGTGGGGTTATCAATTCCATTATCCATTTTACAAAACTTTCAAATATAAATAAAGTCACATCAAGAGATCCCACAATGTTGAAATTGCCCATCTGCAGAACCACACTGTATCAACAAAACTGTGATATAATGACTATTAAAATATAATATAAAATACCAAAATCAATAAGAGAACTACCAGTAAGTTACTTTAAATTACGGTTAAAAAATGGTTACTGGAATGCAATTTTTATTCAATAAATGACTTATTAAAAAATTAAATGTATGTAAGTAAATTTGTAATTCTATGTAAGTAAATGTAGTTGTATTTGATATATATAATGTATGTATTTTGTAAAGACTTACAGAGCGCGCCCGGCATGATCGGCGCTTGCGGAAGGAGGGGCGAGAGAGAGATATATATCTATTACTTTTACTCATTCACGTTTCATTACACACAACAGTATTGTATGACATTTGTTATATTATTGACTTGTTATGTATTTGTTTTTGTTTAGTTTGTATTTGTATTTGTTTAGTTCTACTGCCATTAGTATGTGTGCGGCTGCCAATATTTATGGAGTGACTCCTACTAGGCTATTAATATAAGTAAGCCACTAAATTATAATACTAAATTTGCATGCCTTTAGATAAGGCGAAATGTGTAGATCAATTATATTTAAGACCATTATTATTACCACATTTCGAGCAAATAAATAAATTATTATTTTTAAATTTTACCAAAATTCTCATCTCCCCTCTTAAGGAGAGGAGATGGCAACTAACCCCCGGCAGAAGCACAGTCGGCCGGGGTTCAGGGCCCCAGGGAGAGAAACCGGCGTACAATGCGGGCAGAATCTAAGAGCACCGCTTTCTGCATCTTTCCCGGGAGTGAGCCGCCTCGGAATCCCAACCGTCTGAGATGTTGTTCCAGACTGGTTGGGATAAGACCGTTCACCGACATAACGATTGGGATGATTTCGGTAGATGTCACCCCCCACATTTCGGTCACCTCGTGAGCCAGGTCGAGATATTTTCTCTTCTTCTCGGTTTCGGCTTTCACGAGGTTCTCGTCATGCGGTATGGTGACATCCACCAAAAACACCCTCGAAAGTGCCCGGTCCATCACCACGATATCAGGTTTGTTCGCAAGAACAGTCCTGTCCGTGATGATGGATCGGTCCCAGTAGAGCCTGACGCTGTCGCTTTCGAGGACCGGCTGTGGCTCGTACTTATAGTACGGCAACCTCTCATTCGCGAGGCCGTACTTCAGAGCTAGCTCTTGATGGAGTATTTTGGCTACCTGGTTGTGCCTGTGCAAGTACTCTGTGTTGGCAAGAGCTGAACAACCCGAAAGCACATGTCTGAGTGACTCTCCAGGATGGCGACATGCTCGACAGATGTCCTCAGTGCCATCCTTCAGAATGTGCTTTCGGTAATTGTTCGTCTTAACCACCTGATCCTGTATTGCACAGACAAAACCCTCGGTCTCTCCGAAGAGATCACCGAACTGTAGCCAGTGCACGGAGGTCTTCGTGTTTACGTACGGCCCGTGAAGGGCTTTGAAGAACCTTCCGTGCAACTCCTTCTCTTTCCATACGGCCTCCCGCTGAGAGGTACCCAAAACTTCGGGTTTTCGCCAGTCCTCTTTAGCCAGAGAAAGAGGGGTGAATCCTTTGTCACATTCTATGACCTCTCTATGCAAACCCTCGTCTCTTTTCTCCAGAAAATATGTCCTGAGGCTGTCAATCTCGCGGTTGTGCATGGTCTTAACGCTTAACAAGCCTCGACCACCAGCTTTCCGCGGGATATACAGCCTCATGACTGACGATTTCGGGTGATGCATTCTATGGAGGGTCATAGTTGTGCGGACTTTCCGATCCAGGGCTTCGAGTTCGGTTTGAGACCATCTGAGCACGCCAAAAGTGTAAAGGAGTACGGGTATGACCCAGCCGTCATAAGCTCGGATTTTATTGGCGCCCGACAAAGAACTTTTTAGTACTCTTGTAAGGCGCGCAAAAAATTCCTCGCGGACTGACTGTTTCATATCCGTCTCCTTCACACCGATGTTTTGTGACATGCCCAGATACCGGTATGTTTCAGCCTCGGAGAGGGTTTTAATATTAGAGGGATCTGTGGCGATCCCTTCAGTTTGAGTGACCCGTCCCCTCTGCACATGGAGGACCGCGCACTTGTCTATTCCGAGCGCCATCCTAATAGAGCTGCTATAATCGTTTACGATATTTAGCAGCTCCGTCAGGCGTTCGACGCTCGGAGCTAGCAGTTTCAAGTCATCCATGTACAGAAGGTGAGACACTCGTGTACCTCCTCTCCGATACTGAAATCCAGTCCCCGAATTCTCCAGTAAAGTACTGAGTGGATTCAGGGACAGGCAAAACCAAAGTGGACTCAAACAATCGCCCTGGAATATTCCTCTCTTTATCTCTATCCGGTCAGCGGTATCCGTCAATCGCTCGCCCTGGATAGTCAGGATCGTCGTCCACTGCCTCATGCATGCCTCCAAGAACACTCGAACTGTACCGTCGATCTTGTACAGCTCGAGTATCCTCCGGAGCCATGAATGGGGCACGGAATCGAACGCCTTTTTATAATCTATCCAGGCGGCGGAGAAATTCCGACGGTTCCGCTTGACCACGTGCCCAGCGACAGCATCAATGAGGAGCAGCTCCTTCGATCCGCGGCTACCGCCCCTGCATCCGTTCTGAGCGCTAGATAGGATCTTATTCTCGTACACATGACGAGAGATCTTAGCGCTCAGAACGGATGTTAACGTCTTATATATTGTCGTAAGACAAGTGATGGGGCGATATTTAGATGGATCCGCGGTATCGTCCATCTTAGGAGCTAAATGAGTGATCCCGGTTGTAAGGAAGTTCGGGAGCGTCCTGTTTTCGAGGGCACTCTGGAATTGCACGGCTAAGGTCGCATGGCTGGCCGAGAACGCCTTTAACCAGTAGTGCTGCAATCCGTCGATCCCCGGACTTTTCCAGTTCGGAGCCCGACGGATCGCGGCAACCACGTCTTCCTCCGTAATGGCAATGGCGTTCATCGGCGTTATTCGAGCACATGCTTCCTCAACATCGTGCATCCATGCGCCCTCCTCATGTTCCACAGGTTCAGACCACAGCTGTCTCCAGAAGGCGACGAAATTGGCTGTTTCGGGTCTTTGTCCTGTGGGCTGTAGTTTTGGGCGCTCCAAGTTCCTATAAAACTTCCATTGATCACTCATAAAGAGGCGATTCTGTTGATACCTCTCAACCCTCTCAGAGTACCGTCGGAGTCGCTTCCCCCATGCAGCGATCTTCTGCTTCAGTTCATCTATGCGCTCCGTAAGTTTGTGCCCGAAGTCCGGCTGGAACAGACGTACACCTGTCCCAGCAAAGGCCTCTTTTACGGAGCGCATAATTCTCGGGCGTGTGTTGCCCTCCCTGAAGCAGAGCAGTCTACCAATGAGGACTCTGGCCTGGGCGATCCGTCGTTCAATCCTTCTTTTCCAGGCTGGTTTCATATTATCCCTTTGGATATTACGTCCAGCCCGGGGCATTTTTGCGCCGGTATATCGGCATACTGCCAACGCAGCGCCAAACAGGATTGAACTCGTCTCTCCCAGGTCACCGCTGCCCTCAAGGTACTGAGGCAGCAGTCCATTTGTGGCCTCAATGGCATCCCGCGTCGCCACATTTGGATATATCCGGGGAAGCTTCGGTCTCTCTTCGAGGGGAGTTCTTCGGATCTCTAGAATCGCCTCCTCTAGTATGCTCCTCATATGCTCTATATAAATTATTATTATTATTATTATCATCAATCTAATATATAAAATTCTCGTGTCGCGGTGTTTGTTACCAAACTCCTCCGAAACGGCTTTACTTACCGATTTTTATGAAATTTTGTTTGCGTATTGGGTAGGTCTGAGAATCGGTCAACATCTATTTTTCATACCCCTCAATGATAAGGGTGATCCACCTCTAAATATTTTTTTTTTTTTTGACAATTTTTTTTATTTTTATTTTATTATGACAGCGTTGAAAAATACATACAGCTTCAAATTTTTACTATTTTATGATCAACGCCTGTTTTTTAATTGCGATTTTTATATACCGCAAAACGAGAACGAAATTGACCTTCTTTCTGTTACTCTCTATGCAGTCTTCGTCCATTTTTTTGTGTTTTATTTCTGTCTCGATCGTAGCAGTGACTGTTATACGTCATCATATCATTTTAAATTTTCAGTGCAACTCTCATGTTAATTTTATTTTCATAGTAAATTTATTTTTATTTTTAAGTTGCTATTAAGTGGTCATTGGTACTTTAGACAAGGCAGGCCCGCATTGTCATGCATTTAAATTCAAAAATCAGCCAGTCGGGATGTGTTACTCATCAGAAAAGTGCAACTAATGGAAATTTAAACACCACCTGAACCATTGCACGGCTTACTTATCAGTACGGATCCAGATTCTATCCTGTTTTTAAAGTCAATTCGCAAATTAAAATCGTGTTTTCAAATAACATCTTTTGGAGCAACAGAAATAATTCAAAATATTGCTGCAAACGGCCAAAAATTTAATTCCACATTTAAAATCAAAGACCAAATTTATCACGAAGTGGGCTCATTGTTGCTAATGCTAAGCGAATCTCATAGA